CAATTGGAGCATCTAGAATGGAACTGTTCTTGCCAGTACTGGAGACCTTCTGGGCTACCTGTTTGTTTTCAGGTACCATTCAAATGAAGATTCTCTTCCTAGACTTCTCTGTCTGGAAAATCTAACAATACTTTCAACTATTTGAATGGGTGGTGTATAGATGCTAAGGTTGAGAACCCTATCAGCGTCTGCCCCTCCAAGCATTCATAGCTTTCCTCTTGTGTTCAGCTTGGTCTTCCAAAGAGAACCAAGCTGAGAGGAAATCCATGAAGCCTTGCAGAGACCTGGTTGTGCCGCTGGCAACCTTCTTCCTTGTCAGCAGCAGCAACCCAAAAGGCAACTGTAGGCACAGAAGAGAGACTCTGCTTGTGCACAGAAGAGAGACCCTGCTTGTAACCAGTTGGAGGGGCTGCTTTCTTGGCAGGCACCCTGTGACCGAGTGCCCTGCATCCAGCCTTCTTCAGCATGAGGAGTGGCCACCGCTTGAGTGGCTGTTCTGACAGGCGAACTGGCCCCACCATCAGGCAGTGGGGCGCTTTCTTGGTGGATGCTCTGTAACCAGTCTTCTTTGGTGCAAGGATCGACCACCATTTGACCAGCTGCTCAAGCGCATGAATTGATGCTGCTTGTGTAGTGCTAGGGCTTGTTTCCTAGGGAGCACCCTGTGGATGATGGGTGTGCTCGCCAGGAACTCAGGCTCTGGGCCTCTGCAAAATGAACTGGAGTCTAGGCAGCCAAGGAATCTGATCCAAACCCTAGATAGATTCCTTGTACCTCGCTTAATACGGGCCACTCGCAGATGGCCTCTTTTTTGGATATTCGTTGATGCTTCTGTTGATGTTTATGTGTACTTGCTAGAAGCCTGTATTTTCATGAGCACACACACACACGCATACACCGTATGTAAGCATGGAAACTGATACATTCAAAGGTATGTAGCTGCCTTGCTTTCTTTAATTTTGTTGAACTTTTAAAATGAAAATAATTTAAAAGATGACGTGTAAGCTAACGACATTGCGAGCTTCTGAAAGTGGGAAAGAATCCTGCAGATTCATCTACATAAAGGGCCATGATGGGAGGAGACTCGTTGCAGAAGGATTCTTCACAAGGTTAAGGGCGATTATGAGCTGAGACTTGCAAAGAATGTCAGGAGCAACAAAAGGGACTTCCGCAAACATGCAAATAGCAAAAGGAAGAGAGACAGGGGGTGGAACCGCTTAATAAGAAGAAAGGGGATTCAGTGACCAATGTGAGGGAACAGGCACAGATGCTAAATGATTGTTTTGCCTCTGTGTATTCCCTAAAGCAGGATGGGGGAGATCTATATGGGGGACTGGATGAGGCTGAGAATTTAAGGGCACAGATTACAGTAATCCCCCTAGAAATCAAGGAGCTCCTCAGGGCCCTGGAAGTTACGAAGGTCACAGGCCATGAGAGATTACACTGAGGGTACTTTGGGAGTTGGTGGGGGTACTCTCATGACCATTGGCCTCAATTTTTGAGGCCTCATGGGGAATGGGTGAGGATCCAGAGGAATGGAGGGTGGTGTCAGTGGTCCAAATCTTCAAAAATGGTAGTAGAGGGGACATGAGGAATTACAGGCTGGTTAGCCATACATCCTTTCTAGGAAAGACGATGGAAAGGCTCATAATGCCAAGAGATCTAGTAACCCTAGATTGGGAAGGGAAGTTGGTGGTCTGCAACACAGTTTCTGCAAAAACTAGTCCTGGCAGATGAAGCTTATAGAATTCTATGACTAGGTTTTGTGCTCACTAAATGGAGGGTACACAGTGGATGTGGTTTACCTGGATTTCAGCAAGGCCTTTGACAAAGTGCTGCATGATAACTTGGTTGAGAAAATGAGGAGTTTTGGGATGGACTGATGCACTGTCCAATGGATTAGGGCATGGTTGACTGACCAAAAGCAGAGGGTTACTATTAGTGGGGAATCATTGGGATGGCAGCTGGTGATTAGTGGGGTCCCCCAGGGCTCTGTCTTGGGACTGATCCTGTTCGGTATTTTCATCAATGACCTGGAAGAGCGGGTGACAAATCTGTTGATCAAATTTGCAGACTATGGAAGTGGGCAGGGGACAACAGGATGGTGTTCAATGCAGATAAGAGCAAGGTCTTACACTTGGGGCATAGGAATGGCTGTCATAAGCACAGATTAGGGGACAAGTGGCTGGAGAGCAGCACTTGTGAAAGGGACCTTGGGTGCTGGTTGACCGCAGGCTGAACATGAGTCAGCAGTGTGATGTGGTGGTCAAGAGGGCAAAGCCGTGTTGCGTGGCCAGCAACCTCCCTTCCCTACTTAGGGACTCCAGAGCATTTCCTATTATGAGCCTTTCCATTGTCTTACCTTCTGAAAACAGAACTTCTACCCAAATGACAACAGAAACTTTTACAAAAGAATGCTAGGAAATAATAAGGAATGCAAAAAAGCATCTTGAGAAGTGTATCACTAAAAAAATACAACAGCAGCAAAATCTTTAAACATATTAGAAACACAACAGGGAACTTATTGGGCCATTGGATGACACACCGAGACATTTTCCATTGGTCATTTGACCTCATGGCCACCACCCCATTTTCTTCTTGGACTTTAGAAGCAGCCAGATGGCCTGTGCCCAGGCTCGTGCTTTCTTTGTAGCCAAGCAGAGTGCATTTTGAATCAATTGTATTTATTACGCAAATTATGAACTAGGAACGTGTGAGGAATCCATTTGGGCGAAGGAATACATTGAGTTTCCTGGGCTCGACTTCTCAGACTCTGGTCCACTTTGCAGCAGTCTGAGTCCAAGTACCTGGATGCATGCCCAGGAAATGAGCCCCATTTGGGGCAACCATGTCAGAACTTGAATGCTATCACCAGTGTCATTTTAAATTATCCAAAATCTGCTTTCCAATGTAATCCATATGCTGACACTCGCTTCTATTTTTCTTCAACCGAATATCTAAGCCAGAAGAATAGAAACTGTGTCCCTCCCAGATGTTGTTGGACTCCAGTTCTCATTGGCCCCAGTCAGCATGGACAATGGTCAGACAATAGGCATTGTAGTCCAACTTCTAGAGGTCCACAGGCTACCAAGAGCGATGTGTGAGCAATCCATCTGGGGAGTGGGAAGTCATCCGATCTCGTGGGTTTGGCTCTCTGGGCTCTGGTCTGCTTTGCCATGTAGTGGCAAGCCAGGCCCCTCTTCTGCACCATGTGCAGCACTTGTGCAGCTACAGGTGGCGAGGAGGAAAGCTCTTGGCTGCACCGCCTTTCTTCCGTGCATGTTTGGAGACTTTCTGCTCAGCTTGCTAAGACTGAGCTGAACTCAACAGAAAGTCCACAGGTGCCAGGGGGACAGATTCCATGGCACTTTCAGACGTCTCTAGTCACTACTTTTGACAGGAGGAGCCACTACCTAAATTATTGCTTGGTCCTAAGTTGAGTGCACACAAACGGAAATCATGAGCAGTGAGTCTAGAAAAAAACAGAAAGGAGAACACACACATTATTTTGATAAGATATATTTATTCATGATTGAGGATGGTGTTGTTTCCCTTTTGGATCCAGTAGGGGACACTGAATTGCTTTTCTCAAATTAATCCTACTCTTGGATCTGACCTGTTGGTAGGAGCACCCTTTTTCATCTCATGCAATGCATTGGTTTGGTTACCTTTTAGCTAGGTTGGACTTTGCTGGGCTAATCCATATTTTCGTAACATCAGGCTTGAGGACTCAGAAGCTTTAATTGGTTCTGAGTTCAGCTACCCATATTTTTTCCTGGAGTTGATAATTCAGCCTTATTTTGCACCAATTATACTAGCTTCTGCTTGATTCTGAATGTTATTCAGCTGCACAGCCCAGGACCCAGATGTACTTGGGGGCCACTTTTTCTGATGGTACACCCCTTTACTCATTACACTGACATACTAGCTGAAACTGGACCAAGCAGCTACAGTTTATTCTATTACTCCAACAGATGTAGATTGTGACATCTAGGAGCAGCTCGTTTCTTTTAATCTTTTGGATATTCTTTCAGTAAATATTGGGAACTCTGCAGTTTACAAGGATTTGGGAAAGGCTATAAAGTAAATTCTTTCAGGAGGCATTTGGATGATTTGATTTGTTTCCCCAGGAAACAAATTTCTGGTGGTTTATTATTTATACAGTATTTTACTGTTTATCATGAGATGCAAAGGTTCAGAACACCACACACGAATGATTATACACTACAGTAAGAGACAATTGGAGAAAACCAGGCAAGAAATTAACTGGAGGAACAGAGGTCTTTTTCATGTATGGCACAAAGGACATTATTTAATCTGGAATACATCACAAATAAATACCATAGAACACTCTCCTTGAAGTAAAGTCCAAAAAAGTCATTTAAAAATTAAAGATTCTAATCAATGTGTTTTTTAAATTTGATTTGCAGTATAGGGGATACAAACTTTTTAAAACAATCCTATCTTGTGTGTAGAGCTGGAGGCAAATGGATCAGTGTTTGGTAGTGGCAGATAAATTATGGTATCCAGTGTGTTATCTTTCCCTTGCAAGATCTGTTTGTGTGTTCTTCAAAGGACTATAATTAAATGCAGAGTCATGCCTACACTACTGCAAATCTGTATCAGTTTATACATTGCTTCCACCAATAAATTCTGGGAATACAAGGTGCTAAGAATTTTTTGTTGTGATTTGTAGCCCACTCAGAATTCCCTGAAAGTGTGTACAACTGCCTAAGTAGTATAATGTTGTAATTGTAGATGCACTAACATAGAAGAAAGACTAATTGAACATGATGGGTATATATGATTCTGAGTGACCATACATGGATCAATCTGCCCTTTTGTAGTGTACTGATGTCTTTAGCCTATTCAAGAATTCAAAGTTGCCTTAATAACAGTGGAAATGTCACACTTTCCAATGAGTAGTGATTCCCACTAGTTGTAAAACTCCTTTCCTTGTAAGTTAATAACCGACATAAAGCCAATTTCCTCCCACCAAGTCTGTGGAAAACAATTTATTTGAATAAATTTCAAAATGAACAGCTGTCAGTAAAACACAGGAATAAAATAAAATGAAGTGGTAAAATGAATACTGATTATAAAACAACAAAAGCGACAATCTTGAAAAGTTTCCTTTTTTAAGCATATGAAATTCATAGTTAGAGCACCATTGGAAATATTGAATTAAACTTGTCCAAACCTGTCCAACTTTTCAAGAATGACTTGAAAACTGGCTTCCCACAGCATGGTACCATAGAGGTATTTTGGGTTAAAATCCTCATGATCTCTAACCCCGCCTGTGTCTGATGGTCACCCAAAGCACCTGGAGGACACCAGATTTGGGAAGGGTGGGGGAAACAAAACAGTAATGTAAACCTCAAGCTATGGGTGTGAGTGGGGTAGCACCTACATTGACCATCACGTTGGAAAGGAGAGGGACCTCTGAAGTTGAGATGCCCAATCTCAAGACACATGTATTAATAACAACATAGCTGAATGATTCATCTGTAGCTTCCTTCATGCCTAGGCTCTAGTTTGGGTGAGATGCTGTTGGTTTAATTCCTGTTAAAATAATTCGCTCTGAACTGGACTGCATACCTGAAATAACAGTTTAATAACTTCTATATTCGTCTTGGAGAGCAACAGGTATCTCAATAAATGTCCCTTATTTTTGTGAGGCAATGTCATTTTTCCAGAAATGACTAGTCTAAACAAGAATCATTACTTTGTATCTTTCTTGTTACAAAACAAAAGAACAGACAGGTTAAAAAACATTTTAGCAGTGAAGTAAGGGGATATTTTATGAAAAAGATCTGAACATCCATGTGAAATCTCAGAGAAGAGAATAGTGCATTCCTTATCCACCCAGGTTATCTTTGTTAAATATGCTGTGAAAACAGACTTTTCGGAACACTACCAACAAATGCAGGAATAAATCAGCCTTCATTTTCCTCTGCAGGTTGAAAGAATTCATGGAGAATAAAGAAAACAGGTAGGGACAGTGCTGAAAGGGCACAAGTGGACTATGGCTTTGTCTAAAGACATGGGTTCCATCGGTAGCTAACATTTTATTTCTGAAAATATAGAATCTGTAACTCCTGTTCCTCAGTCTACAGCTATTCTTCTGGAGACAGTTTGATAGAATACCCCCCTCAGCAAAGACTGGTAATCAGGCACCCTGAAGAGATGGCGCTCTCCATAGGCCACATCATATTCAGCTGTCTTCCCAGTAACAAGCACACGTATGTTAGGCTCATTGATTTGCGTGCCAACTGCTAGTACATAAATTTCAATTTCTGCCTGTCGAGCCTGCTGAACTGCTCTCTCAATCGCACTTCTGGTTATGCCTTGAGAGTTGCCATCAGAGAAAATTAACACCTTCCTCTTGGTTCTAGGAGTGGAAGAACGCCTGTACAGGTCTGTGACATAGTTCAGGGCTGCGTTCACATCTGTGGCATCATTAATAAACTCCATTTTGTCAATAGTATCAGCAATCACGGTGTAGTTCTCTCCAAATGGCACTTCCAGTTTCTGCTGGTTTTTGCCACTGTACTGGACCACAGAGACGCGCACAGCATTACCCTCCGGTTTGGCTGCAGTCAGGAATCGTTCTGCAAGGCGTTTCACAAACGTCTTGGTGATATTGAAGTTACGGCTCCCAACACTGGTCGAACTATCAACAAGGAGTGTGAGATCAGCTGAATCAGCGAAAGAAACTGGAAAGAGAAGAAAAAGCTGAAAATCATTTTGCAGTGCACATTTTGCAGTTGTAAAGACAACATGGGTAATGGGTTGTTCCAATGGTTATGTAAGCAGATGCCAGCATCTAAGAATATAAGAAGAGCTAAGTTGGAACTGATGGGGATCTGTCTGCTCTAACACTGTGTTTGCACGTTGGGAAACCCAACAAGATGACCACGGGAAACCCACAAGCAGGACATGACTGCAACAGCATCCTGCCACCCGTGTTCCCCAGCAGCTACTGTACACAGGCATGCCTTCTTAAATAATTCCTTCCTTGTAGAGGTTGCTCTGGCACCTTAATTTCTGACATTGTCTGAGATGCAATAAGTTTCTTTTGGAGTCCCAGCAGAGAGCGCCTGTGATCTGGGTAGTGGGACTCTGATAGCCAAGCCTCCTCTGCCTTCCCCTGCAAATGGCGTGGAAAGGACCATGCTGGCTGCCCCTCTGGGAGCACAAATATTTATTTTATTTATTTATTAAAACATTTTTATGCCGCCCCATCTGCCGAAGCCTCGGGGCGGCTTACAACAATAAATTAAAATAACATTTTAAAATATATACATTAAAATACAAATATATAATAACAAATATATAATATAAAACATACAATATAAAACAAGCCGCCCTGGCCAAATAAAATTCAATAATATTAACATTTAAAATACTGCTTAAATAAAAAGGTCTTCGCCTGGCGCCGAAAAACAAATAACGACGGCGCCAGGCGGACCTCTCTGGGGAATATGCCTGAGAGAGAGGTAAAGGGGGAGGGTGGAAGCTTATTCCTGCTGATCCCCAGTTCCTACGGGTGCCGCAGCCTCCTTTCCTCCCACTTCCTGGCTTTGTACCTACACTGCTCAAAGTAGCAGCTATGTAAAATGCATGGCGTGGGGCACTAGGGCAGTGCAGACTGCCAACACCGTGCCTTGCGTACTCTGACCACTGGATGGATGTGGTGCTGTGAATTAGGAAGCTTATCAGCATTGAGATCAGGGGCCCTTTTTCTAACTCTACAATTTCGCTAACTCTTTCCCCTTCATGGATCACTGCCTTGCCGTGGTGAAGGGGCTTGTGTAGCACAATGAAGCTATGAGCTATGCCATGCAGGGGCACCCAAGACGGGCAGGTCATAGCAGAGAGCGCTGACAAAACGTGATCCACTGGAGAAGGAAATGGCAACCCACTCCAGTACCCTTGCCATGTAAACCCCATGGACAGTGCCAAAAGGCAAAAAGATATGACGCCGGAAGATGAGCCCCTCAGGTTGGAGGATGTCCAGTGTGCTACTGGGGAAGAGCAGAGGGCTAGTACTAGTAGCACCAGAAAGAACGAAGCGACTGGGTCAAAGCCGAAAGGACATTCAGTTGCAGGTGTATCTGGTGGTGAAAGGAAAGTTCAATGCTGTAAAGATCTATACTCCATAGGAACCTGGAATGTAAGATCCATGAATCAAGGCAAGCTGGATGTGGTCAAAGAGATGACAAGACTGAACATTGACATCTTAGGAATCAGTGAACTAAAATGGACGGGAATGGGTGAATTTAATGCAGATGACCATCAGGTATACTACTGTGGGCAAGAATCCCTCAGAAGAAATGGAGTAGCCTTCATAGTCAATAAAAGAGTAGGAAAAGCTGAAGTTGACCGGTTCTATGAAGGCCTACAACACTTTCTAGAATTAACACCAAAAAATGATGTCCTTATATTCATGGGGGATGGGAATGCTAAAGTAGGAAGCCAAAAGATAACTGGAATAACAGGCAAGTTTGGCCCTGGAGTACAAAATGAAGCAGGGCATAGGCTGGTAGAATTTTGTCAAGAGAATACAATGGTCATAGCAAACACTCTTTTCTTAACAACCCAAGAGAGGACTCTACACATAGGCATCACCAGATGGTCAACACAGAAATCAGATTGACTATGTGCTCTGCAGCCAAGGATGGAGAAGCTCTATAGAGCCAGTAAAAACAAGACCAGGAGCTGACTGTGGCTCAGATCATGAGCTTCTTGTTGCAAAATTTAGGCTTAGACTGAAGAAAGTAGGGAGAACTAGCACTAGGCCACTCAGGTATGACCTAAAACATATTACTGATGAATATATAGTAGAGGTGACAAATAGATTTAAGGAATTAGATCTGATAGAGTGCCTGAAGAACTATGGATGGAGGTTCGCAACATTGTACAAGAGGCAGCAACTAAAACCATCCCAAAGAAAAAGAAATGCAAGAAAGCAAAATGGCTGTCTGAGGAAGCTTTACAAATAGCTGAGGAAAGAAGGGAAGTGAAAGGAAAGGGAGAAAAAGAAAGATACACCCAATTGAATGCAGAATTCCAGAGAAGAGCTGGAAGAGATAAGAATGCCTTCTTAAATGAACAGTGCAAAGAAATAGAAGAAAACAATAGAATGAGAAGGATTAGAGATCTCTTCAAGAAAACTGGAGATATGAAGGGAACATTTTGTGCAAAGATGGGTATGATAAAGGACCAAAATGGCAGGGACCTAACAGAAAGCATATAGAATTGTCCAGGGCCTATTACATGGTGGCCCCAGGGGCATCTTAGAACCATTTGAGGCTCAGTGTAATTATTCAATAGGCACTTTCAGGACAACAACTCTTTTGCCCACCAGGACTTGAACTCCAATGCTAGAGCAGTGAGGTGAGATATCAGGGGCACAATCTGGTCTCATTGATTTGGATGAATTCCAGTTAGTACAGCTCAAGGGTGTTGACAAGTTGCTTGGACAGGTTCATGGGACCACTTCCCTACTGGATTCTTGCCGTTCTTGACTAGTAAAATCCAGTAGAGAGGGAACTGTTGGCTGGCCCAGGGAGGTGACTGATGCTTCCTTGTGAGAAGGAGTGGTCCCTGACCAGCTGAAAAAAGTGATTGTGAAACCACTCTTGTTCTATGTGGAAGGGGACAAATACAAAGTAGTAACTCAAGCAGTGCCTCAACATTCAGCCTCCTGTGAAAGTAGGTCCATTTTACTCTATAACTGAATTATCCAATCAGAACGGATGTGGAAATGCAGAATAATTCCTCCGTGTCTTTGCAACTCCCCTGCTCCCCCATGCTTAGCAGAAGCACCTCATCCGTGGATGCTGCTCATGCTTATGAGAACTTTTGATTAGTTTCACATAGCAAAGATCTTGGTTAGTGGGCAGAGTCCAAAGCAAAAAGAAGTACTAGACACCAGTAATTTAAAATTATGGTAACAGGGGAAATATTACTTGATAAACACAACTTTCTAGAATACTTACTTGGGCATGTGTAGTCTGGGCATTTCTTTTCTATAAAACAAAGACAAAATTGCATTAATGGATTCTCTTTACAGACAATGTTCAGCATCAGTACAAATGAGACAGGTTTCATATGGTTCTGTATATTGTTACATAGGAAGGCATACTTAAAGATTGCTGTTGTGAGTGTATAGCAGCTACAAATTAGGGATTGGGGAGGAATTAATTAATTTGATTCCCTTTATTCAAAATTAATTGATGCAAACTTACTGAACCAATATATGAATTAAAACACAGTTAAGTTATTCATATCTGCTTGCATGTGGTAGGCATGTCACCCCCCTGCTAGTGCAGGACTCCCAAGTGACACCATCCCACTCAGATGTCTGTCCAGTTTTGCCTTGCATATCTCTAGTGTGGGAGAACCCATGACTTCTCTTGGCAGCTGGTTCTGCTGTCACCTTGCTTTGACACTTAAGAAGCTTTTCTTGGTGTCTAGCCTGAATCTGCTGTGCTGCAGTTTAAGTTTGCTGTTCATGGCCTACACTCAGGGATGAATGAGAAGAGGTCTTTTCCTTCTTTCTTGAAGCTAAACATGCCCAGGTCTCTCAGCCTCTCATCATAGGGCTTAGGTTCCAGACTCTGGATCATCTTCACTGTCCTCCTCTGAACCCTTTCTAGTTTTTCTGCATCTTATTACACTTGAATGCCCAGAACGGAACACAGTATTCCAGGTGAGGTCTGACTTGTGCAGAGTAAGGGAGAGCTAGTACCTCTCTTGTTCTGTTTCTATTTATGCATCCCAAAATAGTATTTGCCCATTTTTGGCTGCGTCGCATTGATAACTCATATCTAGCCTATTGTTCACAATAACTCCAAGGTCTTTTCCAGTGCTGCTGAGTCCAGTATTCTCCAACTTGTATCAATGCATTGGCTCTTTTTCCCCTAGGTGGAGAACTTGGCATTTGCCCCTGCTAAATTTCCTTCTGTTTCTTTCTGCCCAGCATTCTAGCTTGCCAAGGTAACCCTGGATCTTCTTTTTGTTTTCCAGGGTGTTAGCTATTCCACCCAGTTTTCTGTCATCTCACATTTAATTATCATTCCCTGGACTTCCTCAACTAGATCATTAATAAAATGTTGAAGAGCACTGGGCCCAGGACTGAGCACGGTGGGCACCACACTCATTAACTCTCCAGCTTGAGAAGGTACCACTGAGGTGCACTCTCCGTGGCTGATTTTGTAGCCAGTTTTGGATGCACCTAATAGTAGTTCTGTCAAGCCCACTTTTTGCTAGTTTATCATGGGGCACCATGGGACACCATGTCAAAAGCTTTGTTAAAGTCTAGGTAAATTATGTCCACAGATTTCTGCTGTCCATTTGGGTGGTTACCCAGTCAAAAAATGAAACTAGGTAAGTTTGGCATGGCTTATTCTTAACAAATCTTTGTTGGCTTCTGTTTATCACTACATTTTCTTCAAGGTGCTTGCAGACTGATTTTTAAATAATTTGCTCCAGTATTTTTCCCAGAGTCCAGTTAAACTGACTGGTCTATAGTTCTCTGGTTCATTTTTTTCCCCTTTCTTGTAGATGGGGACAATATCAGCACTTCTTCAGTTGTCCAGCACTTCCCATTTCCCAAGATTTCTCAAAGATTATACATATTTATTTATTTATTAAAACATTTCTATGCCGCCCCATTCGCCGAAGCCTCGGGGCGGCTCACAACATAAAATTAAAATACAAAAAATAACAATATAAAATAAGTCGCCCTGGCCTGTGTGGGTTCCTAACCTTTAGAAGGAAAGGAGTTTATAGTCAAATAAACCTGCAGTCATTTCTTTCCTCAGTCACCAGCTTCTGCTGACTCCAAATGAGCAGCACTCAAAGATTGTTTCACACACCTTTGCATATATGAGCAGTTATGTTCTGTAGAAAAGTGTCATCAAGCAGCTCAGCGTAGTTGTCTCGATAAACAGAGTTTCTTCCACAGGAAATAGATGATAATTGCTCAGGGTTTGGAGGAGCACTGTAAATGTCACCAATGCCCAGGGGAACCACCTAGAGGATTACAGGTATTCAGACTGCTTACACTTGTGAAAATCAATATTGTACATATTTTCTGAAGCCCCAGCTGGATCCCAAAGGATACAGAGCAAAACCAATCCTTGCCCTGAAGAACTTGCAAATGCAGAATATCAAATGCATTGGGCATGGGGGAATTACTCTAGTACCTATGCATGCACCAGCATCAGATGTTCTGATTATACTGCTAAGAAGAAAATGTAGGTATTCCTTTCTAGAGAAGTTGTCAATGGTCAAGCATGTGGTTATGATACATGGAACTCAGAGAGGAACTGGGTTGTTGTAAAAATGATTAGGCCACTCAAATTCCTTTTGATTTGGCTTCCCTAATTCACCTGACTTGGTGAACATTAGAATATGTCTCATCAATAGAATTTTGGATTCTTATTTGGGATCATTCTAAGGTTGCCTTAGATGAACATCTGTGTCTGGTCTTCTAAAATGTAAGAAAGATGAATGAATGTCAACGTTTACTGAGCATCTGACATTTACACTACCACAGTTGCAGGAACTTTACAGTCAAACCCAAACTTACACTGAAATTACCTCCCAGCACACCTCATTTAGTTGCATATTACTAATTCTTTGTTTAATCAAATTCTACTACCCCTTTCCTTACTCAGAAGAAAGACACCCTGACCCCAAAACATGTGTTTCCTATCCTTCCCCTTAAACCCTTCCAAATATTAATTTCACCTGGGTGTTGGCTTTGCAGAGAGTATCAAGTGGTGTTTTGTCCCGAAGTATGTCCGACCGCCCATCTGTGATGACTATGGCCACTCTCTTGTCAGAGGTAAATCGCTGCGCCAAGTTATCTTTGGTGAACTCAAGGGCTTCCCCAGTAAAGGTGCCGCCAGCAATCCAGTGCAGATTCTTCACAGCCCTTGCAACCAAACATCAGTCAGTGTCAGCTGCTGAAAGCAAAACTCCTCTCTTGACAAAGGAATCTAGACACACCTCTCTTCTTTCCTTCTTGTCCTGCCTTCCCTGATAAGTGTAGCTTGTTTTTGCTTCCAGAAATCTGAAACTCTAATTTTGAATATACCAACATCTTTTTTGTGTTAATAATGTGTCAAAATAGGGACGGGCAGCTGCAGGTGGCATGTGCCTCCCAGCCATTTTTCTGCCATTTGCCCTCCTCACCAGTGACAAAGAAAGGCATGGCTTATTTTAAAGGGAACATCCCTTGCCCAGTTGCTGCTGAAATGAAGCTGGCGTCTCAGTAATAGCACTGATTTTGGCTCGTAGGGTGGGGAAAGGAAGCTTGTGGTGGTGTACAGGAGTAGAAACTGGCTTCTGGATCTCTGAAGTTGCCCACCCCTGTGTTAAAACGATGCAATCTAACTAATTTGGCTAGGAGGTACAAACAAAGAGCCAGTGTGGGGCAGAAGCTAGAATGCTGCACTGGGACTCAGTAGATTTGGGTTGTAATCCCTCTCTGCCATAAAGCTCCCTAGGTGAGTCAGAGTCTCAGCCTACCTCCCAGGGTTGTTGTGAAAATAATTATGGATAGGAAGGGGATCATGTAACTACTTTGGGTTTCTTGGGATAAGAAAAAAAAAGGTAGAGTATAAATGCAATATAATATAACAACAACAATAGCAATAGTAATAACAAAACTCCCACGCATGTGTTAGTCACACAGTATGTATAAAATAGAGTACCAGGACTCATCTGTAAAACACAAACATTTGATCTAAACTTACTCTTTGAGAGCCCCAACGCTATCAATGTTTCTGTCTCCCATGGCCACCAGTTCCTGAGTTTTGTCATGGCTGTATTGCACAACACCAACATGGGATTCCCCTTGGGAAAACTGTTAAAGAAAAATTAGACATCAAAACTATATTTTGGGGGACATGGGCAAACAGTGAAGGACACCAAGGAAGGTTTAACAAGTTTGGGAACTGTTATGGAACTGGAATTCTTGGGGCTGTTGCTTTTGTTTATACAAAACAAACATTTTTATACTCGTACTCCTTCCGGTGCCAGGTAAAGACCTTTTTATTTAACCATCATTTTAATAATTAAATTATTAATATTAATAATGATTATTAAGGTTTTAGATGTTTTAAGATTTTTTTTCTTTTTCCCACAGTTGCATTTTCTATTCTTTCCCTCCTCCTCTCTTTCTCTTAGTTTTATTACATACTTTTCATATTGTTTTAATAATCGTTGTTTTATTATTGTACTATTATAATATTTTACACTGTGTAAGCCGTCCTGAGAGCTTGTTGGAAGGTTGGGATATAAATGTTTGTAATAAATAAATAATAAATAAATATCTTGACAGAGACACTCTGTTTCAGCTCTTTCATGGTAATAATGCAGCTAAGTTGATGAGATTTATTGATGACTTACCGTCACATGTTCATCCTTGCTCAGTCTGTCAATGACCTTAACAATGAAATCCTTAGCGATCTCAAAGTTTTGTAAGCCAATGCTCTCTGAACTATCCAAAACGAACAGCACATCAACAGGGCCACACTTGCATTCTGTAACAAAGGGCAGGGGCACATCACAGGAGCATGCATATAAGTGTGAGGACTTTATTGCTTCCAGATGCCAAACATATCGGTAGTTACAGCACTATTACATGGTAAGAAGTGTTCTTGCTGGTATAAGGCTCAATTCAGACATGTCAAACCACAATTGTCCTAACTATAGTTTAAAACCCAAACTATGTTTGGTACATCTAAATGCAAAAGCAAGTTACCACTTACAGATGCTCAGCAATCCCATGTAGAGATAAAGATCAAGTGTTGTAACTATGGTTTGAGCACTGACCAGAAATTAGCACAAACCAGAAATTACAGATCCACTTCAGATCATAGTTTCTGTTCACATGCCTTTTACAGCAACAAAAATTAAAAACACAAAAATTAAAATAAGGGAAATGCCATCTAATGTGGCTCAATGTAACCCTCCAAACTTGGAGGATTACAGGCATCCTATTGAGGGTGGGAGAAATGCAAAGGTGAAGGTTGCTTCTGTGGTTCTTGTGCTGCAAAAGGCTTAGAATGATGGTTTTGGTCATCTAAATCTTGTGCCCCAGCTCATGAGGAGGACAGGCTGAGTCACCACAGCAGGTGAGCAAGGGGTTGACTAGATAGCCTTGTAGGCCACTTCCAACTCTGCTATTCTATGATACAGTGTATCCCAGCAGAGCCTCAGTCCTTTCCTCCCTCCCTCCTAGAATGCCCACCAAATGCCAGCTCCAAGTTCTAACTTCTGACTTCAGTGCCAGTCATCATGGAAAGGACCAGGGCAACTGCAAGGCAGAGGAAGACTGCTCTGAGGCTGTGCTTCTGAAGCTGGAGCTGGGATTCTGACTCACCCTGTGACTGTCTAGACAGGTTCTAGTGGTTGCAGGTTTCTGCCCTTAGCTATTCCATGATATAATACATACATAGCAAATGTTAGTCTGTTAAGCCTGAAATTAATTACAAACACAAGTAATAAACTTCCTTTATAATGCAATGTCTTAGGACTGGGTCTCCAGGTAAAGATATACACTGATAAAGAAACTGCTGCTAATTCATGCACAGATGAAATTTAATTTATCTTTTTTCAGATGCTTAGATTATGCAAAAATTGCAGCAATATCTTTAAGAAAACAGGCTGACATTTTAACAATGGAACTCAATACTAGACAGTTTTATTCCAGCCCTGTCACCTGCCTGTCAGCTTTTAGTGGAGTTTACATCCATGCTAGCATCCCTTTGCAGTTTATGCTGGTCTGTTTTCTTCTTTCACCTTTCTATTTTTGAACTAATTTATTTTGGTGAATCACATTTATTCATTTTTCAGCATTCCTTTTAGAAATGAGAACATGCAAAAAATGCAGCTTGCTTTTTGCCTTCCCTTGTTAAGTCTATTATATTGATTGGCATTGCAACTAGTACATTTCAGTAACTGTCATAATGAAGGTTATCTATGTTCATTTACCTTAGAATGGCTGATAAAGTTAGTTTTATATTAAGATATGTGCATATAATTGTTCTCAAATAATAGGTTGTATGTTTTAGGGGGTTTTTTTGCTATAAATGTATTTAATGGAATTTAGGTATTTGGGTAATTAGTAGTTTAGTAACTGAATATTTATATATCAAGATTTGTCTTTTGTAGCTTTGCTGCTGGGTTTGATTTCCTTTTGGTTTTCCTTTTTGTTTCCGATTTGCTAGTCAATCACAAACCATTGTTTGTTAATTTAGCTATAACATTAAACTGTAATTAAGCTTCTTTGATCATAATTAGGTATAATTTAGAATTTAAAGATGGATAAAAGTTTTACAAAGCATCCATGCAACAAGATGGGAAAGATAAATTCACTAAATCAGTGCCTAGATTTCATTCTCCAGGAACATAATATATACTTTTACATAAACATTCTTAGGAATGCAACTTAAATCTGATGAAACTGTCCCAGGGCAGAACTTTCATCATCAGGGGTAATTAAATTATGTCCCACTTATAAGTGGCAGAAAGAGAGGTAAAAGAGAGCAATCAAGTTCTGACAGACCTTTCAAGTGAAGAAAAAGGAAAACATTTAATTTTGAATGGCTGTTTGGGCCATCTGGAAAGATAATTCCACAAATGCATCACAGGAATATCATTGGCAAAGAACTTACTGACAAAGAAAGGACTTGTGTTTCCTGGTTCACCTAAGCCACACAGCCTTCCTGCATTTAATTTCTCCAGTTAATGAGGAGAGCTCTAGGATACCAGCTTGCTTGTTTTATTGCAGCTAGTTTTAGATGTGGTGGGCAATTTAACTGGCCATTTAATACCAATAGCAAGTGGCGACAGTGGTGAATGGTCTTCAAGCAAGAGTCAGCCTCCCTCAACTAAGTCTTAATTACATTCCAGTAATTGAATAGTACTCAATTTATTTAAAAGTTTGTATATTTTACTGATGGTTTTCCTTAGACTACTATACCTATTTAAAATAATTCAGGCAGTGGTAGTTGTCTAAATTGTATTAATTATGTATATTTGTATTTTAATCTGTTTTTTTAGTTCAAAATTGTTCACTGCCCAGAGAGTTCTGTGCAAGGCTATTGGTGCACATTATAAATTTAAAAAATAAATACATAAATAATGATGGAACAAGGGGATGTTTAATGGAAAACAAAACTATGTTATTAAAGGAATTGGAAAAATAACACTCACCACAGCAAGCTAAGAAAAGGATGGGGGGAAAGAACACATGATATTGTGAATATCAGCATTGAACAGAAGCATTGCAAATTGAGAAAATGCTGAAATTAAAACATATACAGCATGCTGACCTGGAGAAAAGCACAATATATAGATGCTGAAATGCTTTCCCTTCATATTAGCTAAGCTTTTAAATGCTTCCTATATCTGATATGTTAATATTCTTTCTGAATTCTAGAAACTACTATTTATAAACAGAGTAAATATAATCAAAATGATGGAAGCTTTTAAATATGCATGTATATTTTATGACTGCCTCACATCTATTGCAGCATTTTCCAGAAATACAGATATATGCTGTTAAATCAAATCACTAGTTAATTCCCAAACAAGGATGTTTGGGAACATAATGTATACAAAAATCCTAACAGAAAGTGCTTTACAAACCTAAGAAAGTTGTTCAGCTAGGAAAAGCTGGCATGCAAACAGCATGTTAGAGAAGACACCATTTCCAAGCATTGTAAACTTTTAATTTCTTTGTCATTTATGGAATGAAGGTAACAGTTTGCTTGCTTGACATTCAATAGCAGAAAGTCTACTATTATGTTCATACTATAACTAACAGTTCAAAGATCTAGGTTCCAGTGTATTTTCTCTGGTGTGCACACAGGAGATAAAGTATGGGTATAGTTACCATCTTGCTCAATAAGAAGTTGAGGCAATCACTTTTAAAAATTGGGTTAAAGCTTGATGCAAAGCAAAGGGTATTATGTGCAATAAAAAGCCACTCCAGTTTAGCTAATCATATAATTTTACTGGCTGTTCCAGCATATATGCTTTGCATTGATTTGGTTGATCATTCCAAGGCATTCTTTTCTGCTTGTCAGAGAAGAATTGGCTCCTCAGTTTTGCAGAAAGTTATGTGTGATAAAACAACTAGGACACTAACATGTAAAGTAGATGGAGGAAAATGAGTAACAAGTCCAATTTAAAACTAGAAAGAGCACATTGTAGAAGCCTGCTCAGTGGAAGAGATGGTATTGAAGAAATATTTTTCACTACCATCGTATTTTTCCAATGCTATCTGGAGCAATTTTCCAAGTATTTCTGGGACTTCTCCAGCTTTTCCCTTGGAAGCCCTGCCTGACTTCAATAGACATTCTGAACTGCTACCCCTGAAAAGGCTATTTATAGCCACCTCCCCCACCTTATTTGGTGGGAGCACCTGGAGGAATGCCTCAGGGCACACTGCTATTAATTATGGCCTTGATGATCACGAGCCCCAAACAGTTTACATCATCCTGTGCAGAGCAGGAGGAGGGGCAGAGCTGATCTTCACCTCACTGTCTCCCACCCTGCACCTTTTGCTGAGCAAGCCTATTTGCCCAACTAGCTGGGTTGCTTCAGAACGGGGGCGGGAGGAAACCAGGTAGGCCTCAGTCTCCTCTCCTCCCCACCAGTCAAAACACCCCCTTTCTTAATCTCTGAGGTCTTATTTCCAGATTCAGAGTGGATACATCCAACAATCTTATGGCGCCTTAGAATATGTCTTACACTAAAGGACTGCTCCTTTGGTGTAAGGAAATATGGGAGGAAAGGCTCCTTTGGTCCCAAGGCATTTAAGGCTTTAGAGTGAAAGCCAACACTTTGAAATGGCCTCACAGGAGTTGTCTTACAGTCAGTGAGATGAGAAATTACAGGCATAATATGATTAAATTGGCCAGTCCTGATTATCAATCTAGTTGCCTGTTCTGAACTGATGAAATTTTCCAGGCCATTTTCAGTATATTCTACATGCTAGCCCCATTTGGAACACATCACAATAATCCAGATGGGAGATGGATACCGTATGAATAACTGTCACAAAGCTGGTTTATGAATCTTTGAAGGGGAAGAAGTTGCTCTAGCTACCTTCCAGAAGCAACCAAAGGGCCCTGATGAAGAAGCGCTTCTTGGACCCTGATTTTTTCTATTGGCTACAGAAAATCTCCTTTTTGGGGAAAGTGCTTGAGCAGATTGTGACTGCAGCTGTAGGATTTGGGGACAGATTGCAATCTGATTTCTGTCTTTGTGTTAGTATTCGGATGACTTTCATTTCTCTAATGTATAAGCTATAGTTCATAATGGGTTGACTGTGTCTTAACTGGACAGTGGTACTGATGATAACGAGCTATTTGATCCTGGGGAGTGTCATTCAACCTGTTTTGAATGGGGCTACACTTTTCTTATGGGCCAGCACAGATACTTGGGGATCTGAAACTGCTGAAAAATGCCCAGGTGGCATTGTTAACTTGCACTGCTTTTGGCTGGTGCAACAGCTGCAGCCTAACTGGCAGAGAGGTACCCTGGCCACAGGAGTTTTGCTTTAATCTCCAAGCTGAATTACTGCAATAGGCTGCTCTTGAAAAGTTTTCAGAAACTAAGGCTTGGTCATAATATGGCAGTTATACTGCTCTCAGCGACTGAGAACCATGGATATATAATTTCAGTACTGGGAAAAAACCTTCACTGGTTGTCTCCAGGCGCAATTAAATTTGCTAGTGTTGGCCTTCAAAATACTAAGTGGCTTGGGACCAAGGAATTGGAAAGAACTTCATCAAAGAGCCTTCTCTGAGTACCTGAGCTTATATTTAGGCCACTGGCTGCTAGAGGGCAGGCCACCCCAGTGGTGTCATCCAAACGATGGAGCTCTCTTCCTTGGGATATTTGCCTGGTGCTGTCAGAATTATCAGTTGGCTACTGAGCAAAGTCTGCCCCTGTCTTCTTGGGCTTTTAAATCCTGCTGGAGAGATTTAATTTCCCTTTTACATTGCTTGTTCCCCTTTGAATGGATAACTGCATTAGCTCAGTGATTCTCAGCCTTGGGGCATTGAAAGTTGTTTGACTGCAACTCTCATATTGACCATTGGCTGTACTGTCTGGGGATGATAGGAGTTGTGGTCCAATTGGACCAGCAGCATGTGAGGACCCAAGGTTGGGAATGGCTCCTCATTCCTATTACATTCTCTGTGATTTTTGTTTAAGTTGCTGCTTTATTGTTTCCTTATGGGGGAGAGGAGAGAAGAGACCCTGTTCACATTTGAGGAATGTGTGAAGGGGCTGTGGTTTCTGTGGGCCTGCTTCGCTCATAGTGCATCTGGTGGCCATGACCTCACCTGGATGGGTGACACATGTGTAAAACTCTGCTATGCAAGGGGGAACCTCAAATGGAAAAGCCCTGTGTTAGTGGTGTGGAGCTGCATGCCTGTCTTTGTGTGTGGACAATGGGTATGTCAGTATTGGGGAGGACTTTGAACATGTGGGGGAAATCATATGAACCTCTCCTCTTCTTATGCTTTATTTTATTGTTCTAGTTTTAGTGTCTGCTTTAAGACATTTGTAAAAGTGCTGAATATAACTCCTAAAGTAACACTGACAGAAAGAAAGAACAGCAATGGGCAGCATGTGGCCCTCCAGATGACTACAACTCCCATGACCCCTCACCATTAGCTATGCAGACTGCAGCTCATGGGAGCTGCAGAAGAAATGATCTGTGGAGGGTCATGAACTGCAAACTTTGTTTTGCAATGTGTTACTGTAGTGGCAATTTAAAAGGTGCTTGAATTGTTATGTTAGTTGCAGAGGAACAAACCTTTGCTTGCAGTGCTCAGCTAACACAACTTCTGTTCAAATTCATTTATAAGACTGGAGAAGTCCTAATAATATGTACACTTGGGCTAAATCATGGAAAAAATCTGAAAGTCAGATTGTACAGCCAGGGTATTGGAATGATGGCTTAGTAACATCAAGCTGTTGCCATTAATGGTATCATTTTCTGGGGTGGTTATTAGTCAAGGGTACCCCTGCTGGTTTTGCAAGAATGGAGGTCAAATACTTACAACACATTTTCATGATGATATCTAAAATTTCACATTCCTAAAAACAAAAGAAGAATCATTGGCCTCACCCAGGTCCCTGAAGGAAAGAATCACTTTCTATCCCAAATTAGTGCGGTCCTTCACTGCTGTGAGCCATAGAAAGTAATTCCTATCATGTTGACAATGAATGCAGCAAGCAGAATTCTGGAAACTTATAGCACATAAAGCATAGGATGCTTAGAGGGACTTTTCCTGAGAGCGCAGGCAGTATTTGCAGATTTTGGTCTAATATACAAAATCAAAGGCAGACTTTTCCAATAGAAAGGACTATACCACCATTTTTCTCTGTATTTTGAACCAAAACAATATTTATGAATTTGTTTATTTCTCTCTATTCTGCCTTGTCCCAATATTGAGACACAAGGCCAAGACTGAATAATTAAAATAATAATAGAAATGGCAAAATTAAGATGACAATCAAAACAATATAAAAGACAGAGCTAGCCCCATACAATCTCACAGACCCAGGCTGTTCCCAAAGGCCCAATGAAAAAGGAAAGTTGCCTCTGAAAATCTAACAAGGGAGGGCACTGACATAACCTCCCTGGGCAGGCAGCTCCAGAGCCTTGGGGCAGCCACCAGGAAGGAGGCCCTCTTCCACATTCCCACCAAGCATGCTTGTGAAGGAGGTGGGACCAAGAGGAGGGCTTGCCCTGAAGATCTTAGGGTATGCACAGGCTCATGGGAGAATATAGTCTTTCAAAGAGCCTGAACCAGAGCCACGTAGGGCTTTGTAGGGCTTAACTAGCATTTTGAATTGTGCCTGGAAACAGACTGGGAGCAAGAAAAGCTGTTTCAGCAGTGGAGTTGTACGCTCCCTGCAGCCAGCCCCAGTCAGTAGGAGGGTAGCAGTTCACTGAGCCAGCTGAAGTTTCTGAACTCTGTTCCAAGGTAGCTCACACAGAGCATGTTACTGTAAACAGGACGGAACTAAGCCGCGTGGCACTGTCACCAAATCAGACATCTTCAGGAATGAGCACAGCTGGTGCATGAGTTTCAACTGCGCAAACGCCCTCCTGGATGCAGCAGAAACCTGGGTGTCCAGGCTCAAGATTGAGTCCAGTAGTACACCCAAGCTGCAGACCTCTGTCTGCAGGGGGAGAATAACCCCATCCAGTACAAGCCAAATCTGTGTTCCTTGATCCACCTTCTGACTGACCAGGAGCACTTCTGTCTTATCCAGATTAAGCTTCTTTGCACTGAAGTACCTTCCTTGGAATAAGATAGTAAGGAGAGAGTTGGGCGTCATCAGCACCAAGACCCCAAACTCCAGGCAACTCCTTCCAATGGCTTCATGTATATGTTAAGTAGCATGGCGGACAGAACAAAATCTGAGAAACTCTATTGGTCAACAGCCAGGCAGTTGAACAAGAGCTTCCCAGCACCACCCCCCGCTTCCAGAAAGGAAGAGAGCCACTGCAAGATGGTTTCTCCAATGCCTATCTTGGCAAGATGGCTGAGAAGGAGACCATAGTCAAAGGCAGTTGAGAGGTCCAACCCCCCCGTCTTGTTACCAAAGCAGTTACTGAACAAGGCAACCTAGGCTGTTTCTGCCCCATACCATGTCTGAAGCCACACTGAACTGGATCTAGATATTTTGTTTCATTCAGGAGTCCCTGGAACTGGGAGAACACCACATACTCAAAAATGGAATATTGGAAACTGGTTAATAATATCCAACACAGTGGAATTCAGGTAGGGCTTTTCAATCGTGAGTATCACTGCTGCCTTGTTCAGATAGGCGGGGACCCTGCCTTGATTAAGGCAGGCATTCGCAACATTGCATGTCAACTCAGCCAATTCCCTTCTGGCTGCTTTTATGAGCCAGGAAGGGCAAAGATCCAGAGTATATTTGGTGGTTTTCCCTTCTCTAAAGATCCTGTCCAAATGATCAAGTGGTACAAATTTGAAAAAATCCAATAACACTGGACAGACAGGAACCAAGGTAACATGAATGGGGAGGGGATGAGAATAAATGTCCCTTCATGAGTTTCTTTTTTTAAAGGACTATTTTGTGATCTGTCACATTTGGAGTGTCCCTTCTTAGTTGACCAAAGTATAAAATCAGCTTGAAACAGAGTTAAAACAGTGGTGACAATAAAAGCTACCTGCACTCTCACCCATGTCGTATTTCATCAAGTACTATGAAGACTAAGGTGATCCCTTTAGCCCCTATCAATAAAATAAAACCCAAGGCTTTAAGACAGATCCAGAAAGGACACTTGGACACTTTTCTGCAGTTGGAAAGAAAAGAACTAACTAGAAGTCATACTGCTCCAATGAAAACTGAGAAGGAAATGTCATTGGCTCTAGAACTGACCTTTGTCAGGAGACCACACACACATACAGACACAGTAATGAACTTACACTGTTTCGCTTTGTTGAATACTTCCCACCACAGTTCTCAGCCCTCCATAAAAATAATTAAGTGCTTTGTGGCACAGGAAATGATAAGGCAATACTTAATATCAGTTTTACTCACATCTGGTCCAGGAGGGCCTATGGGTCCTGGAGGTCCCTGGAAAACAAAACCATTGCAAAAGTGCCAGGAGAATTCTCAGTCGCACATGACAAATTCCAGAGTTATGTTAAAGACAGTTGCAACACAAACTGCAGACAACTGATGAAATGAAAAATCTATGAACTAATTTGTTCATCTCAGGGTACCATGAGTTCTACTCATTAGGTTACTGCCTGCTGTGATTTGTATTAGTTGTCCAAATTCACTCAATTATTACTAAATATTTGCAACTGAAATCCTATTGTTTTCAAAGGAGTAAATTTAATTGGTTGGGAGTAAGAAAAATAAATGAATCAATGGGGATCGTGTCTCTGTTTGTGCATAAAGACGTGGGGTGCTTTTGCCCATGTCGACTTTTGGCTTTTGCCATGCACATTTTTGGCATGCAGTTCTCAACAGGAATGCAGATACTGGGTGTAGAGTGGGATGCGAGAGGAAGCTCCCAACCCCTGGCCTAGCCTGTGACACTGTCATGGTATAACCCAAGTGGCACCTGGAAGTTCTGTTCTTTCATCATTGTTAGTTAGCAGAAACTTCACTGTATTACTTACTGGAGGGCCCTCTGGTCCTCTGTACCCTTTGGCTCCTTTCACGCCTCTGGTTCCTGTTGTGTTGCTCTGTAAGAAAAATATTTAATACTCTCCTTACTACGTCTGACATTTGTCAACCTCTTATAAACCCACATTGATCATTCCTTATATATTTATCTATAAATTTTTTCAATCTATTTACCAATATTGCTGTAAAAATCTTAGCATCTTGATTAATAAGAGGTAACGGTCTAGAAGATCCAGGGTTTGTAAGGTCTTTATTGGGTTTTGCTGTTAATACTATCATGGATTGTTTCCAAGAGCTTGGAATTGTTTCCCCTTCCATTATTTTATTAAACATTATTTTCATCGTAGGAGCTAGTAATTTTTTTAAAAAATTATATTTTTAATTTTTTAAAAAATATAAAAAATAAAATTAAAATTAAATTTTAATTTTTTTAAAAATATATATATTAAAAATAATTTTTTATAATATTCAACACCTAATCCATCAGATCCTATTTTCAATTTATTAATAACTTCCAATATCTCTTCTTCTATTTGAGTTTTCATAATTTCTTTATCCTCTAATTTCACAATTTAGATTCTTTTCCATATATATCTGACTTTCTTTCAAATGTATTTCATTTCCCATATATAACTTTTTGAAAAACCTTTGAAAAATTAAAAGTTTCTCTTTCATCTTGTTACATCTTTCATTCTTTAGTACTCCAATTAAATTTTTTGCCTTGTGTGGCTCTGGCCAGCATTTTGGAATTTTTATTACTACTTTCATAAAATTCTCTTTTCACATAAATTAGATTTCTTTGCCGGAGAATCTTTTCGATAATACTTCTAATTATGTTGAACTCGCACAAAAACAGGATACCCCCAGCTATAATTAATAGATTTTTCTCTCAACAACGCCAGCACACTTTTCATTTTCCTTCTAAATTCTATTGTTGGTTCTTCTTTGGAAATCCTGTAATTGAATTACGCATTTTTGAAGTTCCTTGGACATAGTCTCCTGGTGAAAGATGCTCGTAGAATTTGTGTTAATCTGGCTTTCCAGAATACCCAGCAATTTTTGAAACTCTTTCATGTCTGTTCTAATTGCTCCCAACTCCTTCAAGAGCTCCTTCTTCAATGTAACATTAATAACTGTATTGTCGAAATTATTGCTGTTTTCGTTTTTAACAAGTCCGAATTATTAACTTCATCCCATCGACTATCAGCCATGTTTTAAACCCTAATCGGATCAAGAAAGCAGGAAGAGGAAAGCCAGAAGTATGCAAAGAGGTGGTAATGCACCTTATCCACTAGATGGAGTTCTACTTCAAGAAGAGTCATTACAAAAAGAAAGGGTTTATTGTAGAAAAAATAAGCCCTTTACGGGTCTCACAGTTGACATCTGAGATTCAAATCTTCCCAGGAGAGAGACAAAGGAATTAACTCATGTTTCATGTGTTTTTCAGTCTTTCTTGATCTTAATTTGAGTATATTTAATCATTGCTTTTTTGTTATAGAACGCACCGGAACGGAGTTCTGGCACCTTTTTTCAACAGATTTTCCAAGCTTTAAAAGTAACTTTTGAAAATTTGATGTTTGGTCCACGTGGATTTGAATCGTCCTGTTGAGCGTAGAAGGTCGGCGGCAAAATCATTAAAACGGTGCATGCGGGCTGCTTGTGTGTCAAATCCAATGCATGCGTACTTCGTCCACGATGGTTGTGATGGCGCTGCTTGGCTTGTGATTGGTTGTGTAGTCGCGCGCTGAGTGCTTACTGCGGGCAGCGACCATTATGTTTTGTTACACAACTGACGTGTGTGGGTGTGTGTACAGTGATTGACTATGTGTGAAAGGTAAATAATTTCATGAGTTCTGGCACCTTTTTCCTTACAAAAAAAGCACTGATTTTAATCATATTTTTCCCGATGGTCAGGAGGAGTAGAGAAATTTTGTGTCCAGAGTCCATCTGAGCTAGCTCCGCCCCCACCCAGATGGAAAAAATATTGACACAAGTAGGTGATCTAGAGCTGGAGACATCGGACAAGGAGGATCCCAGGTCACTGGAGCAACCACCAATAGGAGAGGAAAATACTACAGGGACTGGATCAAAACAGGAGAGCCTTAATTTAGGAGAGCCCTAAATTACCAAATTTAAATTACCAAGAAAAAGGAGGGGGAAGAAATAATGATGAACTGATCTGAAAATGGTCCTTTGGGTTGTTTGGGTAAAACAAATATAAAACGGTTAATTAGAAATGACGGTTGGCCCCCAGTGGTATGATTTAGGTGGAGCTTGTATGGACCACGAGAAGAAGATTGTACTATTTTAGCTTCGGACTTAAGAGTAAAAATATTCATTGTTACACATTCAGGGGTTAAGCTAAGTATGATCCCTTATGTGCAATGGAATATATGAGGCAAGGTAGATGGGAAGGTGCGGGTAATATAGTAATGGGCAGTAAGAAATATTTAAAATAGTGAGATCCCATAGCAAATTGGCATAAGCTGTAGTAAGTTTTAATATGGAAGTTTGTCTTTAGGGACTATATATAGAATTTAAGGGCTAATCCCAGTAGAGTAGGAGATTGTAAATAAAGGGGCTATATATAAATTTATAATAAAATTCACAATACTAGGGAATTATACAAGACAGGGAGGTGAAGAGTGGTCTATTTTTTCCCCTTTGGAGAGGTTTACGCTCTTTCTCCCCTCCCTCTTGTGCCTAAGGGCAGGAAGGCTGCGGGGGAATGGTGGTAATTCAAGGGGGAAGAAAGTTTTTCTGTGTATCGGGGTTGAGGGGAAGTTGTAGGTTTATTGTTTGATTTATGTTTTCTATGTTGTATGTATTGGTAATGTTAAATGTGGATCACAATACTCGGGATTGAAGCTACAGAGCTGGGAAAATCTAAATGGTTAAACAGATTAATATACTAACATGGAATGTGAAAGGCCTAGGGACAAATTTTAAAAGGCGTAAAATACAGAATGTACTGAATAGGAGTACGAACGATGTGGTGTTTTTACAGGAAACTCATCAGAAAAGGGATGGGTTAAATGAAATTAAAGGGAATTGAATTGATGTTTATGAAAAATGTTTTGGAACTTCTAAATCCAGAGGTGTAGCTATTATAATATCTAAGAGATGTGAATTTAAAATTGTTAGTTAAAGATCAAGAAGGAAGATATATTATAGTTCAGGGGCAAATGATTGTAAGTTAGGGAATATCAATGCTCTAAATGTTAACCAAGAACAATTTATGCAGAAGATTTTAGCGATATTGGAGGAAACTAGGAAAGGATTTGTGATTTTGGGAGGGGATTGTAATATGGTAATGGACAAAGTGAATGATAAATCCTCTTGGAAACAAAATGAAGAACAAAGTAGATATACTAAACTATACAAGATGAGAAATAGGACAGATTTGAAAGATGCCTGGAGAGAGCTAAAGGGGAATGAAAGAAGGTACTCTTTTTATTCAGAAGCTCATAAAGCCTATTCAAGAATAGATTATTTATTTATATCTAATGATGTAATAACTAAAGTTAAGAATGTAGAAATGGGGGTAATTCAGATTTCAGATCTTGTGGAATGCAAATGGAATTGGACTTTAAAGCAGATTATTATTATTTATTATAACAAAGCAGATTATACAGAAGCCAAAAGATGGAGATTAGATACTAATATTTTCAGATATAAAAAGGTTATGGATAAGATGCATACAGGAGATCTGGAAAATACATGCACAGGGAGAGGGGAAATTTAGTATGATATGGGACGCTATGAAGGTGGTATCAAGGGGCCTAGCAATTAAAGCTGGATACAAGGTAAGGATGCAACAATCTAAGAGGATGAATGAATTAGAAAATAATGTAAATGAATTAGAAAAAGATTTATTGTGACTAGAGTTGATTAAATTAGAAAATAAATCCAAGTCAAAAAAATATTGGAAGGTATATATATGGAAATGTGCAGAGAAACTTAATATATTTGAAAAGACAATTTTTGAGTGTGGTAACAGAAATTCTAAATTATTAGCACGAGCCTCACAGATAAAGGAAGGGTAATAGTGGTGTGATAGAGAATGGAGAAGAAATAAGATATAGTAAGATGAAGGAGAAATTAAAAGCATTTCAAGAATTTTATAAAAAATTGTATAGAGCCACAGGGGTGGATACAAATAGGGTTATAGAATATGTGAAAAATAACTTGGAAAAGAAGATTGATATACAAGACAAGGAAGAAATGGAAAGGGAAATTACTGTTGATGAAATTGAAGTGGTAATAAATAAATTGAAAATTGGTAAAACCCCTGGGGTAGATGGGCTAGGCGCTGATTTTTATAAGTTTTTTTTGCAAATTAATGATACCCAAATTGAAAATTTTGATGAATTAAATTTTAGAAGGTGAGGAGATCCTCCCCATCATGGAAGGAATCACTGACTGTTTTAATATTGAAGCCTGGAAAAGATGCAGTAAATATGAGTTCTTATAGACCAATCTCCCTGATAAATCAAGACACAATTTTTTCTGCAAGCCTATCTAATAGATTGTACACCTTTATTGGAAAATATATTAATAAAGATCAAAATGGCTTCCTGAAAAATAGATGGCAGATGTCTTGAGGAGAGTTCTGAATATTATATATCTAGCAAAGAAAAATAGTTTAAAAACTGGGATTTTAGCATTAGACATTTTTAAGGCATTTGATTTGGTGGAATGTGATACATTAGAAATTGTGATAGATAATATGGGATTTGGAGTTAAGTTTAAACATTGTATAAATCAATTATATAAAGATAACACCACAAGAGTCCTGGTAAATGATGGAATCACAGATATAATATCTCTAGGCTGGGGAACACGTCAAGGACGCTCCTTGTCTCCCATTTTATTTGTGATGGTTATGGAATTATTAGCTATTGTAATTAGGGAAGGTGTGGAATTGAAAGGAATTGGATTTAAAGAGGAAGTTAAGGTAAATTTATTTGCTGATGATACCCTATTGACGTTAGAAGACCCTGTAAAAGTTATAGATAGACTTAAGCTGCATTTACAAGAATTTGAGGAAATAACTGGACTAAAAGTTAATTCTGAAATTATGTTAATTAATTATAGTAAAGAAGATAAGGACAAACTGAAAGACTTATTTGAAGGGAAAGGAGGGATACAATAAAATATTTGGGGATTTACATTACATGGTATATACACAAAATAGGGAAACTGAATATGGATTATCTTAAAAAACAAATAGAGGAATACAGCAGGGGATTGGACTCGATGGCCTTCATGGCACTTTCCAACTCTACTATTCTGTGATTCTATGCTTAATAGATATTCTTAGCAAATAATAATAATGATATTCAGCAGGAATGTATACTCCAACCTCAAATAAGGTAGAAGTAAGCCACTTTCATTTCCAGAAAACTTACCAAAAATTAATAATGTCTTATTTGTCATACATAGGTATTTTTTCATTCCCCATTCTAGCTATTTCCTTGTTCAGTGATTTCAACCAAAGCATGTGCTGTCTTTTCCATGTGATCACTTTGAAAATCTCAAACACAGTTTACTATGATCATTGGTGGGACTCTTCACAGACATGGTAAATCTAGGTTACTTTGCATTGACAACAATGGACCCATGAAGCATTGGTTTTCAGCCATTTTACAGCTGAGGACCAGCAAAAATAGGAAAAGTAATTTGGACCACTGAGGCAGAAATAAAAAGAATTATACAGATACAGTATTTTGTGCATTCATTTTTAAATATAATTCAAAAAAAGAGAAAATTCTTTAAAATAACTAGAAACTGAGCAATAATTAGGCTAATAAAAGAATAAAATATTGAAATTAAATGTAATCAAATACAACTGAAATTTTTAGTGAACAATATTTAATTCAAATAAGGCTAGTGTGAAATCTGCTGTTACTTCTTTTCAAGCATGCTTGATAATCCTGGCTGCAGTGTTGTTTCCGAGAAAGGAAGCACTGCATTGACACACATTTTGATTGATTGATTGATTGATTGATTTTGTTTCTCTGTTTGGTTTTTATCAGTGACAGGGCTGAAAAACTATTTTCACACAAATATGTGGTAGAAAATACAATTAACGATTTAATAGCTCTGTAACTTAGAGACATATTCTTTTTTCCAGTGAGATTTAAGATTGTGACAATAACTGCATGGACACTAGACTGACATCAGAAGATAACTCGATCAATTTTTCTTTTTCATGATGATTAAGTGTGGATAGGTTGTTATCTCCTTATAAGTTGCTAAAAGATCCCCTTGGAGTCTCTTCTTCTCCAGGCTGAAAAGACCAAGTTCCCTCAATCTCTCCTCATATATCATCCCTCCCAACCTGGCCACCATTGACCTGTAAGAAGTGGCCATGGACCGCAAAGCTTGATCAGAGGTCTGCTGCAGCACTTTACCCAGGTTTTTTTTTTTGTCATAGAACACACCAGAATGGCGTTCCGGCACCATTTTTTGATGGGTTTTCCCAAGTGATTGTGAATCACCCTGTTGGGCACAGCAGATTGGTGGCAGAAATCATTAACATAGTGCCTGCGGGCTGCTTGTGTGTTGGCGCTGATTGTCGGCGCTGATTGTGAGGGTGCCGGTCGGCTTCGGATGCTGCTCAGCTTGGGATCGGTCATGTGGTCGCGCGCTGAGTGCTTACTGCTGGCGGCGATCATTGTGTAAAAGTATGACACCAAGATGTGAGTTCCAGCACCTTTTTCTTTTTTTTCCAAAAAAAGCACTGACTTTACCACATCCATGGGCAGCCCTGGTCCCCTGTACTAAGAAGAGCTGGGATCCTCCAAGGGATGCTCTTCGTGTCAGCACACCTGAAGGACCCTGTGGCTGGATCAGACCCAACTCCATCTCACCCAGCATGCTTTCCACAACAGGCCAGCCAGCTGCCTATGGGAAACTCTCGAGCAGGACAACTCTCAGGTTGAAGGAGGAGGAGGCAGGGCATAAACCTAAGGCAATAACAACAGCAGCAGCACCCTCCTGCCCCTGTTCTCCAGTAACTGGTGCAAAGAGGTGTCCTGCTTACAACACTGAAGGCAGCCTGTGGGCAGCAGGACTAGCAGCCGTGAAGAAGCTGATCCTCCAGGAATTCCTCACACGGCTTGGTCCTCTCCTGTCCCTGAAAACAAGCTTCCCCAAAAGACGGCCTCTGCAAAGAAAACCTACAACCAGGCCTGGGGTGCTGGATGCAGTTCCTCAGTGGCACTCTGCACATACTCAGGGACTCTTCTTTATTATTGTATTTAAAAGGCACAGCCTCTCACAATTACTAGCTCCATGAAGCCCTCATGCTGGCAGGAGAATCTCTACAGATGCCAAGCAACTGGTTCCCACCCAGTTCAGGCACCGTTTAGCCCAGAGGCCATTGATCAAACCCTGTTCACTGCATCTCGACCAGAGAGATGTACCTTGGTCTGCACTTCTGCAAGCTCCTATTATTCCCCCTGCAAAAGGTATTTGTGAGGTAAATACTCATGGAAAAGCAGCAAGGAATGGTCCACAGGTACTGCAGAGCACAAAGCAAGCCTCCAAGCTCAGAGGCACGCTACCCAGCTTCCAGTTGAGGGGGACAGCAGTAGGAAATACCAGGTTTGCTGCCTCTTCCCAGCCCCATCTGCTGTTTGGCCGTGGCCACTAAGGGGCACAAGGAGCCCAACCAGAAGCCTGGAATGGGTCCAGCCACCTGACATGAAGTACCATGGCAACCGCTCTGTACATGCTCAGAGCCCCTTGAAAGGCCATTGTGTCCTAGCAGTGGTGGGTGGTTCAAGGCCTTCGGAGCCCCCAGCGTGTTCTGGAGCGCTGCTGCGTGGCGGGCCATTGACCCTGTCTCTGCTGGATGTGCCTCATCCTGCCGCTGCAGAAGTACACCTTGCTGAAGACGCCCAGCATGGGCCTCTCACAGAGGGAGCGGCCATCCTTGTTGGGGCTGGAGTGGCGCTTGCAAGAGACCTGCGGTCACTGCTGGACTCATGGGCCTGGCACTTCTGCCGGATCAGCGAGCTGCTGATGGTCGCAGTCATGGCTGAATGGGGGCAGTGGTCATAGGCTGCCACTAGCCATCTTTGCCCCCTCGGCGGTGCCCCATTGCTGCATTGGAACCTCCTAAGTCAGGCTGGGACAACGCCAAGAACCTCCTGCTCGTTTTGGGGGGGGAAGACGCCCTGCCCACTTTGTAGATCTGATGGGAGGAGCTGGACAGGGGGCCCAGTGGAGGCAGTGGCACTTGTCTTGTCCGGTGCTCCCCATCCCTTGCCAAGCTCTGGAGCTGCTGCCGACTCCATGTTTCGAGCACAGGGATGGGCATGGTTGAAGAGCAAAGCCAACGGAGGGGAGGAACGAAGTCCGCATGCCCCGGCACCGCAGGAGATGGAGGGTGCTCCCCAGCGGCGGCTCCTTCACAGACTGGCCAGAAATCTCCAGCGGATCAGTGGTGGTCCATGGCCCGGCAGTTGAAAACCACTGCCGTAGACTGACCCTTAAATCTTCTCTCCCAGTTTTTCTCAACCACCGCAACCGAGGCAGTCTCACACGCCAGATATACTTGTACTTCCAAAGCCACTATTTTTCCCGATTTTATTGAAAGAATGATCCTACTTCCCCATCCATTCAGCTTATTTTTATACTACAATGTGTGTGAGGTTCAGTTTTTAATATTGTTAGAGAAAGCTGATTGTATTTCACATGAAGATGTACAGTGGGAATAAAACATGGGAATTAAGTTTGATATATGACAACATTCAATGTCTGAGAAATATAATCAACCCCACACTTTACTTACTTCCCTCCCAGGGTCTCCAATCTCTCCTTCATCACCTTTTGGACCAGGATAGCCTTTGGAACCCTGAAGAGACAACAGAATTTAGTACAAGTACACAACTGCATGGAAGGAACAGATCTTTGTAGTCAATAATGGGTAGCTCTACTGTCCATAAGTTAGCATGCTGGCCTCGTCAGAGTGCTTAGCTGCATGTAGGGAAAGATCATCAGAGGTCATCCAAATTAATTTTGTTGCTGAGACTCAGTCTTTTTCCAAGGTGTGTCCAAAGTAATACTCTCCCAATGCACTGAAAATACTGGGTGCTGCTCTGGGTGGATAATATAGCTGGTTATATATTATGATTATTGCACTATTTACAACCTGCAGACAAGGAAAGGAGCTCTCATAATTTTATACTTGACAAATTTGGGAATAATACAAGGTTTCTGTGGGTACGAGAAATTCACATTATCTTGTCAAGCCAATTTGAAAGCTCAGCCGAGAATCTGTCAATAGCTCTGTCAATCCCCACTGTAGCCGCTGCTCCCCACGAAAATATCCCTTTCCTTGGTGGCAGATGTAGCACTGATGTGCCTGTGGAGAGGTTTTGTTTTTTGCTTGCTTTTTGTCACTCTCACACATATGCTTTGGATTAGTGCCTTGGATTAGTGACATGTTGTTTCCAAGGGAACCATGTGAATAATAACTTTAGTCCTCCTGAAAGTAATAGATGTTACTTGCCAGAAAGGGAATTGGGGCATGTATTGGGAATGTGCTGTTGGCAGCGGTAGCTAAAACTGGTGGGAACAGGGAGAACTAAATTCTGTTCCAGGTAATTTCTTTTAATCTGAGAAGAATTTTGGGAAAAGCCTCTCATGCCTTTAAGGTGAGCTTTCTGAGCTCTCAAATTTCTTCCCTAAGCCTCAGTTTGGAGAAGTTGACCAACATGCTGCTTTAGAGTAAATTGCATTCAGCAAACTAGTTGAGGAGGAAAAGAGACTTGGGGTACCTGGGTACCAACTGTAACCAAGAGACCAAGAGACTGAGACTTACATTGATCCCAGGAGCACCTCTGTCACCAGGATATCCCTTGGGAAGAGAAAAGAGACAGGGAGTTAAATCAGAGCAACATAAGTTCGGGAGTAGGCAGGGGTTGGCCTCCATTTTCGAGACCTCGGGGAGAATGGACATGGTTCCAGAGGACTGGAGGATGGTATCAGTAGTCCCAATCTTCAAAGAGGGTAGCAGAGGGGACATGGGGAGTTACAGGCCAGTTAGCCTTACATCCATTCTGGGAAGATGACGGAAAGGCTCATAATAGGGACAGTAACCCTAGATAGGGAAGGGAGGTTGGCAGGTGGCCACAACTGAGGAGCAGGACATGGGTGGAGATGGCATTCAATGCGGATAACTGTCTTGCACTTGGGTGTCATAAGTACAGGTTAGGGGACAAGTGGCTGGAGAGCAGCACCTGTGAAAGGGATCTAAGTTGGAATTGGTGCAGCATAAGGCCACAAGGATAGTGGCCATATTGCAGGGGAAGCTGTATGAAGAGAGACTGAGAGAACTGGGTCATTTCAGCCTGGAGGAGAGGAAACTCTGAGGGGATCGGTTGTTGACATATAGGTACGTGAGGGGCTGACACATGGAGGTGGCACCCAGCTGTTTTCCCCTGCAGAGGAGGGCAGGGAGTATTCCAGTGGAGCCAAGCTCAGGGAACCAAGGTTCAATTTGGATGCCAGGAAGTACGTCCTGACAGTTAGGACCCCAAGGGTATGGAATGGGCTTCCATGGGAGGTGGTTGAGTCCCAAAATGAGTGTGTTCAAGGATAGACTGGACATGCCCATGGTAGGTATCTTATGAGTGGAGCTGGCTGGAGCCAGGGGTCAGACTAGATGGCCCAGGAGACCCCTTCTGACTTGCTTTGTTTCTATGTTCTGTGTTTCTGTATCTGGAAATGCTGCTGATGTGTGTGTATGTGCGTGCATGTGCAAGTGTTTAAGCATTTGGAACTTTGGAAAGTTGAATGACACTCACTGGGAAGCCAGGAAAACCAGCAGTGCCATTTCCTGGCGGGCCATCTTCTCCCTAGGAAATAGGAGCAGTTGAGTCTATTAAGAATATTTATATCTTTCAAGATTTAACTAGCTAAAACAGCAGAGATATGAAAAATGGACAAGCATCAAAAAAGAATGAGAAAAAACCTAACAAGTAAAATATCAGATAAAATATAAACAGAATGCAAAAGACAGCTAGCAAGATCAACCAACATGCAGGTCAAGGTCTGACTAAACAAAAATATATTTGGGAAGCAGGAGAGGAGGCGATACATATTTCTCAAAACAGAGTGTTTCAGAGGATGAATACTCATTGCTTAGATGGGGCAGATTGCTCCCAAAGGTGTTTCCAAATGACAGTCGCGTAATACAAGAGAAGATGTTCTCTGGATTTCTTGGTTTGAATCCATGTATAACTTTAAAGCATCTTGAATTATGCCTGGAAGCAGACCCATAGCTAGTGCAACTAATAGAATAAAGGAATCACATTCTATGTTTTGCTGCTCTTGGTTCCAATAGTTTTGCTGCTGTGTCCTGCACTACCTAGAAGTTTTGGGTGGTTTTCAAAGGTTACAGCCTGAATTTGCTTGAAACCAAACCATGACTCTGTCTCCCCCATGAACAGGTATAGTTGACACACAAATTGAACTCAAATTGATATTGCCTCAAATTATGTTACTTACCCTTTCACCTATCAAGCCAGGGTCACCAGGTAATCCAGGTGGTCCAGGTAATCCTTTTGGGCCCTATGCAATAAAAAGCAAAATACCTGTGGTTAGGGATATATAAGAATTTATGTCAGTTTGCAAATCATCTGAAAATGCCCGTTTACAACCCCAAATGTGAACAGAAAAGCATGACTATTTAACTTGTACATTACCTCACTACTAAAACTAGCACTTAGTGTGGCTTGCAATCACTAATAAAATGCAATAAAAACACAACAATAGCAGAGTAGGAACTGCCTCCAATCCAAAACACACAGAAAGTCTGCTGGAGTGAAGCCCTTGCTGCTTCCTGGTGCAATGATAGTCGAGAGGGAGTGAACTTAGTCTCCTGACAGGGAGCTCCATGGCCAGGAAGCAGCCGTTGAGAATGAGCCCTTTTATGACACCACCAAGTGCACTTCTGAAGGTGAAGATCTCCCATACCAGGCCTTTCCTGAAGATTTTAAGAAGTGGGCAGACTCACACTGGAGAAGGTCAGGTATAGCAGTAACACGGTCCCAAGTTATATACTGTACGTAGGTAATAATCAGCATTGTTATTCTGTTCAGAAACATGTTCCCCCAAAAGTTAGTAAATGCCAAACTTGCATTGGGAGCTGCAAAATTTCAAAAATGTCTACTTAAATAGATGCACATTTTCCTGTTCAAAAAGTGCAGCTTTCCTATTTGAATGAACCAAAAACCAAGTTGCAGATGAAAGGGAGTGAGCTGAACCAAGCACTATAGAGCATTTCTGGAGAATTTTGGCAAGTTTGAGCATCCTTGGTTCTTCCATCCTTAGCAATGGCTATTGTCAAAAGGCATTAATTCAGATAAATAAGACAGACAGTTGCAGTTCATTTTCAGAGGGGTAGCCAAGCTAGCTGTTGAACCAAAATCAACAAAAAGTCTAAGACTAGCAATAAATCTGTTGATCTTCATGGTGGCAGAAGACTCTTCCTTGCTTTTACATTAATTTCCATGTATATTCCTTGCCCCTTTTACTTCCTTGTTTAGAAACAAGCCTGATGCACAGAAGAATGTAAATCAGGCTCTGAAATTAGTCCAGGGAAAACTATCTTTGTTATATTGATTAACAAGTTTGTGATCCCCACCCTCAGAAAACAGACTGAGCTAGAACATTCCTGCATATCATGACTTTAGCCAGTGTTGATTGATGTTGCATATGGGAGCTAATTTCTAATACAGCTCCAAATATCCTTATATATAGAAGTTAATAGCTGAAGACACATGATCCTCATTACTATAACTGAACATTTTTACTGTAGGTATCTTTTAAGATTGCTTTGTATGTGAAGTGTCTGACTTTTAATCCATGGATGTAATGGATAGTCCCTTACTGCCTACTACAATTAATGCAGACTAACCTCTGGTCCATTAGGTCCCTCATCTCCTCTATATCCCTTAGGTCCAGGTGGCCCAGCTGCACCCTGGAAGAAAGAAATGTGGTTAAAATGGTTTTAACCTGCTAAATATCTGGTCAGCAAGCAAAGGCCTCAGTTCCCAGCTTCCCAAAAGGACCTCTTGGCAATGCTCAGAGGCTGAGCTGCCATTCTTTCCATATCCCTCCTTGCATCTTGCTCAGTAAGTGGGGAGAGGGCAGGCAGGACCTCCTCTCCTCAAGATACACTGACTAGGACAGTATTTCTGTAGTGTCAATGGAGTAAAAACCAGCAACAGAGAAAGATCTGAAAACACAACACAGATGTAAAAACTAATCTGAAGACAAGAAAAGCCTACTGCTGGAAAGAGCACAACTTAGTGCGGGGCAAATCTCTCTGGGGAGGGCATTCCACAACAGCAAAGGTGCTGCCACAGAAAGCCCTCTCCTCATTCCCCGCATTTCAAGGGGAAACTGAAAGAAGGCCTTACTTGTTCTACACACTTAAATAGTGGCTCGGAAAGCTATTATATGGGTAGCTCCGGCAAAACACAGCAAAGGTAACATTTAACATGTAAACTAGCCCTGAGTAGGGAGACGAGTTGATGAGCTGTAGTCACCGTAGCCCAGAATGGGTACGTGGCCTGGTATCCGAGTTTACATTCTACCTCTGCCCATACAAGAAAGTTGGGACATAAAAGAGGGTAACCATGTCTTACAGGTTCTCCAGGTGGTCCATAAGGTCCTTCTCGGCCCTGGTCACCCTGTGGCCCTGGTTCACCCTAAAAATAAGGGAAAGGAAGAGAAAACAACTTTGATGTGTTATTATTTATTACATTTTAACCTCTCCTTTCTCTCTTTTACAAGGAATCCAAGGTGGCTTACAAGGTTGTGCATCTCTCCATGTTATCCTAACAAAAACAGCCTTGCAAAGTAAGTTAGACTGAGTCCATGACTGGCCCAATGAGCTTCATGACTGGGACTAGAACCCAGATCTCCTAAGTCCCAGTCTGACACTCTAATCACTATGCCATACTGGGCCTTCTCAGAATGGACTCTGCCAGGGGAGATGTTAACATTTCAGGAAGGAATAATATGTCCTCTGTATATCTGGATTTTCTTTGTAATCAACAGATATAAGGCCAAGTCAAATAACACAGGAGCTTTCTAAAGCATCAATCAGGAGTTTCAAAAGAAAAGCTATTTCTTCTGTTTACATCCTGCTCCAGCCTACATGAATACTGAACTAACCAAGAAAACTATTTCCAGATGGTCTGAGAACTTTGTCCTAAACCTGATTACTGACAACTAAGTTCAGCTGTCTGTAACATGACCATGGGCCAAAACAGATATGTTAGTAGCCATGGGCAAACCCTTGCAGGCATTCCATGTGTGCTCTGTTATGCACGAATGAACCTTCTTGCCCTGTAAGCTTAGGAGACCCATTTGGATGTGCCAAGTCTACCTACATATGAGTCAACATGTGGAAAGTGTGGGGCACAGATGGATCCACACAGATGATTTACCCATGGCCACATAGATGCTTTGCCCCTTGCTGAAGAGTTGTGTAAAGTTTTCAGCAGCAGTAGCTATCCTTCTCAGTCAAGACTAGCCCCTCACTATATCCATGCCAAAACTTAATCTTTTTTTAATCCAAATTTCTCTTGTGTAGAATTTTCTTCTGCTGTTGCTGTTGTGCAAGTACCTGTGGAGTTGTTACACAGTCCAGAGTTCTTCATTCCACATGGTGGTGGGCCTAGCATAATGCCATACCTGAGAACTCACTAACAATAAGCATTTACCAACAGGGCTCTGGGTGATGTTGCTGCATTGGTTTGTGCTACTTAAATAGCTTACAAGCCATACAAGACAGGATGGGTTTGCATAAACTCAGAGTGCTGCTGGAGAGACCAGGAAGCCGTACTGCTTGTCAGCCCAGTTCCCAAGAGGGAGGCAGCTCTCCAAAATGTAACAGTTGCCTCCCGGGTGGGTCAGGGTCAGACTCTTCCAGGTGCCTTCAGAGGACCGCTTTGTCGTGTGTGCTGACTCAGATGAGTCTTTGGCGCACGCAGAGAAAGAGACTTCCCGTGGGAACCAGGCTTTGCTGCAGGAAGATGTATATCTGGTGCCAGTGGTACAACCCCCCCCCCCCACTCCCTGAAGAAGCTCTTCAAAGAGAAGAGGGCGCAGATGGGAGTAGGATTCAGGGAGGAACTGATAGCGAACTGCAGTCAGAGGGCAGTCGGGCAGTTGCCAAGGAAACGGTCGAGGCGCCTAATGATAACAGTCTGGAGAACGTGGGAGTTGGCTAGGCCCAGCAGGGGGTTGGAAAATGCGTGCTCTCGCAGACGCACGCGCAGACTGGGGCAATTGGAGACAAGAGAGTCAGAGCGACAGGGGAAAGAAGTTTGTCGGGGCTGCCCATCAAGGGGCGGCCCAGGCGAGTCAAAAGCATTCCGTGAGCTGATCTTATTCAGAAAGAGAGGACAACTTTGCCATCATCATTAGCATCATCATTATCACTGTCTCTCGTAGTTGTAATTGACAGTTTTGTGTAGAATAAAGATTTTAGTAATGACAGCCTGGTTCGTTGTTTTTGTTGGGAAGGAGCGCCAGCCTCACAACACGCTTCTTCTTTATTTGGAGAAATTAATATAGCTGGGTAGGGCTGAGCCTAGTTTTACTTAGTCAGATTATCTTTTCTGCACAACACTGTGAAAAGGCTGAGAGACCTCTAGCCTGTGGGGCTTCCTACTCACTGGGCTGCCCCTGCGGGCCTAAGGAATACAAGTTGGGAGCCTGAGCCACACACTGTCTTTGCTTGCTCCACCACTTCCCAAATGGGGGAAGGAGAAAAAGGGCGCAGGCCAACCTGACGGTGGCGGCACAGGGTGACATGCTCCTCCATCAGAGCCTTGCCTTTGTTGCCAGCTGGAAAGCCCCCTTGCAGTGAAGCTGAGGGGCTGGTAGGAAGAGCAGCACACATTTCAGTTGGAGTAACTCTGTGACTCTCCCATGCAGCAAAGCTGGGTCAGGACAGGACACAGCTTTGGGAGGAAGCTGATGCTCTGTTTTCAATCATGCAAGTCTCTGCTTGCAAATAGCATTGATTAAGGTGAGTCAAAGCCCAAATTCATTGATAGGAAACTACAACAACACACTAAGCATTTAATGAGAATGCACATCTAGGTCGCTAGGCTGTCAGTCTCTCTGAAAAGAGTGGCTAAATCTCAACATTGAACATTTGCAAGAGGTTATTAATCGTTCAGTTAAGCACATAGTACAATGCTACAGCTTTAAAAAGCTTGAAAAAAGCCTGACAATTAGAAAAGAACAACTTCTTTCAAAAGCCAGTTTATTAGAATAAGGATCTGATGTGCTTCAAAGGAGCTACTACTGCATGTTTATACTGAACACCCTGCAGATCTTGTGAAAGAGGCTGAAATGCAGACTGACTTAGTAATATCTCTTGTGAAAGTGCCATGACACTTGGGGAACTGCTCTCTTTCCTTTCTTTTAAATGATTATCAATTTAAGGCACTGTTCTGACATTAGCTTCATAGCACAACTGCTCACATCTGGCCCCCAAAGTATCATTGCATTGCTGCTTGTGAAAACATGAGATGTAAACAGGAAACTTAAATTTAGATAAAACTTAAACTTTCATCCTATTGTGCCTATTCAATACAGTAGCAGATTTTTGACTTTGTGTGCTTGTATGGCTGCCAGTTCCATCGTAACAGTTCACACAACATAGCGACTCCCTGTGATTAGCCAGGGTGGGTGGACATACTGTGCAAATCAGGCCAATGGTTGTGCATGGAGCCGTTTTGTTTTACCTTGTCTCCTCTTGGCCCTCTGTTGCCAGGGACACCTGGTGGTCCTCTTTCTCCATTGCCACCCTGTGCAAACATGGACATAAGTACATTTTGCATGTTAGACTCTGCTATGATTCTGATTGTCACTCATACCAGACAACTACAAAATATATGTGGATTCATAATCCATTTTTATTTCATGGCTACGTTACAAAGGGACTCTGCTTTGTTCTATCCGTACAGTGAATGTTATACAAGAGCCCATTCTCACAAAACAATTTGGAAGGATTTTGGGGTCATGTTGGGGATCAGGCACAGAGAGGGATCTCCTAGAATTTGTCATGAGTTACCCAGAGTTTATGAATGAGCCACTCTCATGAAAGGGCATTCAAAACACATTACATACATGATTTTGCTGTAATCCTTACAGCAGCCCTGAAATCTGGGTCCTAAATTGCAGGGATTAGGGTGAGGGTGAAAGAGAGTAGCTTATCAAAAGCTATTTAAGAACTGTAAGCAAGCTTAAACCAGTGACTTAAATCTTACTTAAACCAGGTGCTGGGAAACCAGTTTTCTAGCTTGGACACAGGTTTTCTCCACTTGGGGAGGCTGGGGCTGATGAGGACTTGGGGGACTGACCTGTTCAGGATCCCCAGATAGGGGCCAGATGTGGCCAGGGGCCATTGCAAAAGAGGCGAGGGCCAAGGCACAGCCATCTACTGCCACTGGGAGGAGATGGTGGTGGGTGATTGCCCTGACCTTGAGGTGATGGAGGTCTGTTGCCAGCTGGCCTGTGACAAACTAGGGACTTTGAAGCTCTGGGCAAGAAACTCAGGAACCTAAATGCCCAAGTGGCCTTTTTCTCTATCTTGCCTGTCCAGGGATTTGGACCAGCCAGGGAAAGAGGGTTGCAGAAGTGAATGACTGGCTCAGCGTGTGGTGTCAGAAGGAACACTTTGGGTTCCTTGACCATGGCACCCAGTTTCTTGTCAATGGACTTCTGGCGAAGGAGGGGTGCACCTCACAATGATGGGGGAAAGGTCCTTTGGAAATGCTCTAGCAAGCTTTGTCTTCAGACTTTAAACTGAGGTGAGGGGTGTGTGTGTCAGGCCTCCCAGAAACTTGTCCTGATGGGACAAGTGAGAGGAGAAGACCAGGGCTTTGGGACTAGAGTGTTAGAGGTACTGCAGGGGCTGGCAGGACTCCTGTGAAGGGTGGGGTATTAGGAAGATGGGAGGAAGGAGGAGGCTAGGGGACTGAAAGAAAGGGATCTGTGGGAAGGAACTGAGGTGCATGTACACCAATGCTAGGAGCATGGGTAACAAGCAGGAAGAGCTTGAGGCTGTTCTTGGTATAGAAGGGTATGACCTGGTGGGGATCACAGAAACTTGGTGGGATGAAAAGCAAGACTGGAATGTAAACATAGAGGGGTTTGACCCTTTTAGAAGGTACAGGAAGGGAAAGGGGGAGGGGTGTAGTGTCATATGTCAGGAAAGGGATAGTATGCAATGAGATAGAAAGTGGTGCAGATGGGGATCTGGTAGAGGCGGTCTGGGTAAAACTAAAGGATTTTGACAGGGGAAGGGACCTGATAGTGGGGGTCTGTTATCACCCTCCAAGTCAGCTTGATACCCTGGACGATGCCCTGACAGACCAGATTCGAAGGATATCTCAGGGAAATGACATGGTAATTATGGAAGATTTCACTCTTCCACAGATGAGTTGGGAGACTTACTTGGTGGTGACAGCCAGGTCATGTCGCTTCCTAGATGCTATAGAGGGAGAGTTTTTCTGCAGGGGGTCCAGGAAGCGATGTTGTGGGGGGGGGGGGGACATCCTTGACTTGGTTTTGACCAACAGGTAAGGTCTGGTAGATGAGGTGCAGGTGAGGGGAGCTCTGGATGCAAGTGATCACTCCATCCTTTGCTTTGAGATCAGGGGAATAAGGACATGCAGCAGGTCGAGCACTAGAATTTGGGACTTCACAAGGGCCAATTTTGGTCAATTGAAGGCCAGACTGGGGAAACACAAAGGCAGTATTGTTGGGGGACAAAAAGATAACTTACAGGAATAACTGTATTGGGCCCACATCATTTCTGCCTGTGTGCAACATGAATCTGAGAGCAGACTAATCAGCGAATGTAAAGTAAGGAATATGGCAGCAAGCTTACTAACACTTAGAAGATAAATTTTGGTTATATACATACTGATTCCAGAGGCTGCTGCCTAACTTCAAAGCCCTACACAGCTCCAGATTGAGATGCCTGAAGGAACAGCTGTTACCATACCTGCCCATGCACTAAAGGCACCTCTGCCCCTGCCAGCTGAGGTGAGACCTCAGCAGGTGGAAACTGCACTCAGGAAAGCTGGACTTTGGTTGGGACACTTTATTTGTGGAATTCCCAGGAAGTCTTGCCTGGAACTCCAATGACACTAATACTTTTCCTGTAGCAGGGCAATGCTTTTTTGATTAGATGTTGGCTTTGCTTTGTTTTATTACTGTCTTTTATCTTGTTATGCTCTATTATTTTACATACACATGTTGTAAGTTACCCTAGAGACTTTTGTTGAAGATGGCTTAAAAATGAATAAATACTTAGGAGTAAATACTTTAGGGTACTTCCGTTTGAGTAAATACGCACAGGATTCAGCTGCCAAATACTCTTTTCTTGATTTAAAGGCCATTATTTGCAACTAAGGGAAATGGTTTGCTTCACCACATCACAGGCAGTAGTATTTTGAGTCATTATCATAACTTTTAATCAGCCTACTTGCTCTCAAATCCAGCTATACCAGCTTTTCAAATGATTAATCAAACCAGTTCCTTGATCTCACATTTTGTCAGTAAGTCTACAAAGCAGGCATGCTTTTCCTTCAATAAGCAAAATTAGCCTTACCCTCTCTCCAACAGGGCCATCTGGGCCAGGATTTCCCTACAAGAAAAGTAAAGAAACATGAGAATTCTTTGTTGCATATACAAATCCGGTTATTAAAATGCACACAATTTTTAAATGTGTACCTCATCTCCCATTTCTCCTTTCTCCCCAGGGGATCCAGGCTCTCCAGATGTACCCTAGATAAATATGTGAGAGAAAGGAAGTAAGTACATTAAAATCAAAGGATTCTCAAGTAAGTTCTTTGGTGCTCTTACATCAGCTGTGAGCTACAGGACAGAGCTGTTCTCAACAGAAAAGGATCTACTTATTGCATGATTTCCTTCTTTGCTATTGCCAACCATAATAATAATCCATCTTCTGTTGCAAATATGAAGTCTGAAAAAGCAGTGTATTTCAGTGTAATTAAATATTGTTGATTTTTGTGGTTTTGTTCTTGCATGAATTTTTCCATAATGATTAAGCATTTAAGAGAGGAAAGCTGTGGTCCTTCCAGCTATCACAATCTGTTTGAAGCTGAAGCATGAAGGAAAATGGCTGATATTGAGAGTGTAAGAAAAATTAAGCACAGTGACCCATATAGAAAATCTGCCCTTCTTCTGGTCCATTTAGTATACATGCTATATTCAAATTAATGGAATTAAAGTAAGTGAACAGGTCAAATGCTCAGCCTTTCTCCAGTCCTAAGCTAACTGAAGCTGCACTCTAATCCTAATATACGGAGAGCTCTGAGATTCTGAGTGCTTTCTGCAAGGAGTACTTTAAACTCCATTTAAAGCCTAGACCACATTCTGTTTTAAGCAGCAACAAGCAGCAGTGATTTTGATGTGCTGGAAAATACCCTTCCACTCTTTTTGAAAGCTTTCTTTTTAAGGGTTTAAGGGCATGATCTGATGGCCAGTAGATGTTGTCTCGCCAGCCATAGGAGAAGGCAGAGTCTATACTGTGACCTTGGAAAAGCCTTCCGAGGATGCAGTGGGGACTCTGCTTTTGGAGGGTTCCCACTCAGCCCTGGCACTTATCTCTGCATCAGCTAAGGCCCTGAAGATGGGTGACCATCTCTGGGACAGCCACTGGTGGTGGGGGAGCATTCTGGAAGACAGACAAAGCACCACCAGCTTCTGTCAAATCCAGGTGGTGTCTCAGCCCCTACTTCTCATGAGGGGGGAGAAAACATTTAAACAGCTGAAATCTGTGGACTAAGTACTTTTGAATGAAGAGGGCGCATGGAGGCAATTCTTGGCTCTGTACTGAATTGGATGCCTGTAAATTTCTATGTTCAGGAGTCCTACCTGAGTAGCCTTTAGAACTCAACTATATTCCTGCCTTTGTACTTTTGAGCCTAGAATTACCTGGGGATTCCAGAAAAGAGTCTTACTATAATGAATGCAGACTGATTTCATCTGGAACTGAAGCCCTGAATGTGTTTTTCCCCTTTCTGTACTGCTATTTCCAGTGGTTTCTGCCCAGTAGATGATGGAACATCTATTGTTATTGCCAGTTTTGTTTCCCACTGCCAGTTCTCCTTTTCTGTCCCCACAGAAGCCAAAATGTTCTGGAGAGCCTCACTATAGCATACATCTCATTTCTAGGCCTTCTCAGGCATTTCAGACCTGCCCATTAAATGCACGAGAAGGGGAAACATGCTAACTCCATCTGCCTGTTGTTGCATTTGCCACCCTCTATCCAGTGGGGCTCCCCATGTGATCCTGGATAGGGGAGTCATGTGGGCAGCCTCCGCAGATAGAGGAAGCTTCACAAAGCAGTCCTTCAAGAGGCTGGCATACTCTTCCTCCTCAGAATGCCTGAACAGCCTTCAATAATTAGTTGGCTCTGAAAATGGAAATGCACAGCAAGCACTAAGGACAGGAGGGCAACCCCCAGCACATCATTCACCTTCCCCATGGATGTCTCCTCCCAGTGTTCTTAATTGCAGACTTATGCTACTATTCTGCTCTGCCTTAAAATAATTTCTGCAGTAAGAAAAATTGTTGGGAAAATGCAAGAGGATTGTGGCTGGATGGTGACATCATATTCTGGAACTTCCATACACTTGCATAAATGAAGGATAGTGTTTGTACATACAGATAGGTGAGAAACTCATTTCAGTTCTTTTTGACCAAAACTTATCCAATGGACACATCCTGGATTTGTGTAACAAAACATGTATTAAAAATTCTTGCGTTTGAAAACTGTGTCTAAAAGCTCTTTGTTTAATGAGAAACATCTGTACTTTTGAAACAGTTGTACAACAGATGAGTAGATTTGGGAAAATGTGCATGGAAATATAGAAGAAAGGGAAAACAAACACAACGTCTGCACTGTGACAGAATATGAGGAGAAACTAGTTTTGAGTAGAAATTGGAGAACTTCAGTGAAGAGGTTCCATAAACTTGAAAAGTCTTTTGCCCTCTCGTTACCCATGGTCTGAAATAGGGTGCTTCTTCTATGAACGGAGGCTTCTCATGTGATCTAGAACTCTGTGTTTTAACTCTATCTGGACAGGGATCGCCAGGGGTTAGGATAAAAGCCTCCCTCAGCCCCTAGTTTTCTGGTTATCATGAGCAGTGAAGAAACAGTGATCTCGCAGGAGAAAAGTCTCTCACCAGCTTAGCAACACAGATATCTCAGTAAGCAGGGAGAAGTGTTTTATTGTAACACTGTCCTGAGGCGTTTGCAGTGGATGGGATATAAAAGCTTTAAATAAATAAACAAACAAACGAATAAAAAACTTTCCCATCCCTGCCTGCTGAATTGGGTGCATATACAGTATGTCAAGCATATACATCTCTGCACTTTGAGTGTGTGTGAATGTGCACACGTGTGTGGGCCCCAAGCTCCCATCTGACACTAGAAATGTCCCTCACTGACAAGCATGTTTTTAGACTTACTTTTTCTCCAGGGGCTCCAGGGACCCCACGCCTACCAGGTGCTCCCTCAAGTCCAGGTTCTCCCTTGGAGTAAAATACACAAAAACAAACAGGATTATAAAGGAAAACGCAGCTCACCATTCTAAAATTGAGAGTTAAGTTTCTAATAATAAATAGTAAACGTGTATAATATTTAAACGTTTTCCAGGCTCTGGTGCACCTTGTTCCAATATTATGTGTAAAAGCAGGAGCAGTATCTGAAGAGCCACCTGCTCCATTGTGGACCTTGTCAGTTGTGGGCCCCACCACTGGCACCACAGTGATTTGGCCCCTCTGGTGGATGGTGACCCAACATGAGCTCAAAGACTTGCTCCTGAAAGGAGGCAGGTTTGTGGAGCTCACATAAGGGATCCCTTCCAGAAACAACTGCTTCTGTTTGTTTGTGGGGCTTGCTCACAGAAGGGCTAAATTTCTATTCTGCAAATTTTAAGGGCTGTTTATCACTGTAATTAGCAGGGCGGGCTGTGTACATATCATAATTAGCAGACAGCAATTTGAGTTCATTGAAAAATGTTGTGCGTTATGAAATCAATTGACGGCAAAAGAAGAAGGGGACAGCAGAGGATGAGGTGGCTGGATGGAGTCACTGGGGCAGTGGGTGTGACCTTGAGTGGACTCCGGGGGATGGTGGAGGACAGGAAGGCCTGGAGGAGTGTTGTCCATGGGGTCGCGATGGGTCGGATGCGACTTCGCGAATAACATAACATACATAACATATGAAATCAAAGCCAAAGCTAGATCAAAGGGGGGAAAGGGAGGAAGTACAATTGTCCTACATGAAACTTAAGTAAATCTATTACAACATATACATATATCCTATGTATTGCTATATTTTTATATGTACAGAGAAATATTAATATATTGAATATAATTATCCATAAACTTCAACAAAGGCAGCCCAATATCCATATAATTGTCCATTCATAAATTGCATCTCAGAATTCAAAAGCCAAATGTTTCAAGTCCTCCACCCATTCACTGTGTTATTGCAAGTGCCTGTTTATCTTTCCAATGTTGTAATATTTGTCTTTTAGCTTCAAAATGTCATGGAGTCCAACTTCTAAAACAAAAGTAGCAAGCTGAAAACCTGGAAATTTGCTAGAGAAGTGAGACCCCACTACAGTTCTATGCAAAATTAATTTTGGAAAACTGAATTATTCCTTTATTTTTTGCATAAGTAAAATATGCTCAGCAGAGCCAGCACCCACACCTTCTCTTTCCCTTCTATCGCAGACCAATATGGTTGAAAGGGTGTGGCCTATGAAAATCCCAACAGCTAATCTTACATTCTGGAACTGGTTTGAGTTGCAGCCAAATTCCCCCTCTACAAGAGCCCCCTGCCACCCAAATCCAGCACTAAATTGTATTTCTCTGATTTGCACTCAGAGTAATTGTAATGGTAAACATTTTTAAAAATCACATTTCCACACAAACTACGACCTCTGTAAGAATGAGTAGGATATTCTGCCTTTACCACCATGCTCAGGCAGGAGCACGGACATGGATGTGGGGATGCTGCTGCACAGTCACACCTATGCTAAAATCCCAGTTTTCTGTAATGTTCTCTACAAGCAGCTTTCACTTCTGCCCCGGGAGACCCAGCTAATTTCAGAAGTAAACCTGGAAGCCAGGTTCTTCAGGTAAGTCTAGCTACTCTCGTGTAGAATGCAGCTTTTCCAGAGGGCCATCATTAGTAATGTATCAAGAAACTTTTGCAAAGGCCCAGTGCATGGCATAACCTTCCAGAATCTGACTCAGATTTTGGCAGATTGCTTTCAAAATCTTTACACTTCCCCTTAAAGAACTTACAACTATGGTTCACATCTGATCATACATGAAATAATTCCATTTGAAGTGGCAACTCTGTGTATAGGTTAAGTCTGAGAAATTGGTCAAAAGGAATGCTTGCAGGGGCTACAATGGAAATTTCACCTTACCGAAAACTGGGAAGAGTTCTCCTATTTTTTTTTTCTTTTTCTAAAATGAGATTGATGCCTCCACTCTGGTACACCGTAGTCATCTTGAGGCAGCTGAACATAGTTTTTAAGCTATTTTTCAATTTCTCTCAATTTGAAATGTCCAATTCTAAAAAGAGATCTTGGAGTATTTTTATGATTTAATGGTTAAAGTATCATGGGAATATTAATATTTAGTTTCACGGACCACCCTCAAAATTGGTAACCCTGGGCTTGTTGGTCCTTATACAGCCTCTATCACTCGTGAAAGAGTTTCAGGGACTCCGCTGCTTATTTGGATGTCAGTTCCCTGAGAAGGATGACACTGGGGCTTTTGCCGTTTCTTTTTTGAAAGTATTAGTATCCTTTGCTCAAGAGGAGGGTTCACAGTGTTCCTAGTCGAACAAATCTCCGCCTTCTTGATGGAGGAGGTTGGACTCAATGGTCTTAGTGGCCCCTTCCCACTCCACTATTCTGGAATTTTATGGTTCCTCTCACTTACCTAGGGATTTCCTCTGCAGAGATCCCAAGTTAGATCTCTCCTTCATCTACTATTCAGATTCTCCAACTTGGCTTCTGACTATATCTCAGGCCTAGTAGAACAGAAGCTGCCAATTCACGAGCCACAGATTAAGAGCTCAGGAAGGGGAATCCTTTAAAGTTCATGAGCAGAGCTCTGAGTTACAAGGCATTCCTGGAAACAATCTAGACTTGCCCCAAAACCAACCAACCAACCAACCTTCCTTCCTCCCCCCCACCCCCCACTGGGACAATTTTGAGGCGAGATGAAATTTAGGTGTCCAGTTAATGAAGAATGCTTTATCAGTTACTCTGTAGCACCAGCCTTTATTCTTCCTTTGTTTTCTGGTCTTCCTTCCGCTTTCTATACATGTCCTTTTTTGTTTTCAGAGTATCTTTAAGCTTTTTTCTGTTTTTTACTCTTTTCCTTGTCAGAATTGTTTGTCCTTTTGCTTTTAGAATTTCCTTTAAAAAAAAATCCCATTGTAGGCAAACCGTATGTTGTTGAAAGTTGCCTTGGTCAGCCTATGGCCAGAAACTGTGCATTACTGGGCTCAGCTAAGCTGCTTCCTTACACCTGTACTATGAACCAGAGTATGTAACAATAGCACACAGACCAGAACAAGAAAAGATGACTCACCTTTACTCCTTTGGGTCCATAAGATCCAGGGTCTCCTTTTGGTCCAGGAGGGCCTTGTAAGCCCTGTTTTAAAAATGTGGATGCGATCAGTTTATGAAGAAAATGAAAATTACATTTTTTATATTACAGTTATTCTTAGGAAGATTGGACAGGGATCTGAAATTCAGGGTTAGGAGCTCATTTGGACCTGGTTCACAATGTTTTACAACACATGCACTACATTCACCCTTTCACACACTGCATATTTTCCTTCTTGCGTGGGATTCTGCCGCTCGCATTCTTTGTGTGAATTTATCTAACCTTTTATTTGCTTCCGCCAAAGCACATGCAGACTGGTTGGTACCAGCCTGCAATGATACATGCGTACATGCACACGCACACACGTGCGCACACACGCTCATGCACACAATATGTTGAAACTACATACATCAAATCCTGGGGATCCTTTGCAGCCTGACAATCCATGAAATCCTTGTTCACCCTGTGAGGGAAAAAATGGTCCACATTTTATGAGGTTCGGGTTCGGGTTAGGGCCGAGTGACTGACCCAAAGCTCCATGGCTGAGTGGAGACTAAAATCTGGACCTCCCAGGGTCCCAGTTCAGTGCCCTGACTACCATACCGCACTGACTTTCAGATCATCCATCACGGTGACTAAAGCAATCTCTGTCCCATAGAGACTGTCCCATAGATCCGAAGTGGTTCCAATAAGGTGGATCTAATCCAGAAATCCATAGAGTGGAGAGATCTTTGGAGTCCAAACTTATCTACTATGATGGGGTTTAAAGACACATTTTTAAGAGGTATACCTTGCTTTAAAGAAATGTTTACCACTATCCTTTTGTACTCAGCAAACTTCTTCACAAAGCCAGGAAGGATCAGCTTTAGCACACAAATTACACACCTCATCACTCCAAGGACTCTGTCCACATCCTTGCCGAACTCTTATTTTCAGGTGGAATTGCAGTTGCCTTTCTCATGCAACTTTGGCCTGGCTTACAGTTATGTTTTTGGAAAGAAAGATGTGGATTGGAGACTTCACTTGCAAATGTTAACCATACCTTCTTGCCATCAATTCCATCAATGCCACGCTTGCCCTTCTCCCCCTGAAAAGAGAAAAGATACCAAAAATATAATAGCAGTTTTTATTATTCCCATTAATATTTTTCCAAACAGCATCTGTCAATGAAAGCCCAAAGACATACCTTGGCTCCTTTTGCACCTCTTGAGCCCTATGAAAAAGAGAAGAAAATTTAGAATTATGTACAACAGTTGAATTAGGCCTAATAAGCACCTAGACAGGCAAGGGGAAGTGATATGTATTAGAATTATTGTTAATGTACGTCCTATCATGGAATTCAAGGTGGAATTCATGTATACATGGGGTAGCCAGGGGTCTTCCATCCTAGCAGTAATCTTAGCTTCAGTGAGATAACCTTAGAGGATGTTCTCAGATCAGGTACATTCACATTTTAGATGTGAATTTTCATCTAAAATGGATGGGGAAATGGAAACTTACCCCACTTGGATGCAAACCTTAATAAGCTGAGGGGGCTTGACAGTGTCACAGACTCTGAGAGCAAGGCCACCAGGAGGCCAGACCCTCTCACTAGGCTGGTCTCCCAGCAGGTCCTCCAAGATTGAATGGTCAAGTAGAGAGGCCAGGCTAAGAGTCACCCACCCTCTTCCACAGTAACTGTCACATCAGCAGAAGAGAAGGGATGTCTCTACAGTTGATGGAGATGGAAAAGCTCCTGAAGGGCAGCTACTGGGCAGCAGCAGTAGCTGAAGGAGACAGCGGCAGAAAACAGCAGTGATGCTCAAGTTATTTCTCTTTAGTACTGCACAGACAAAGGTGATGGCAAACCATTTCTGAATATTCTTACTGATGTTGGCAGGTTTAGTTTCCCTCCCTTTTTTTTTTCCTCCAGCAGAATCAAATGAAACTTTAGAAGCACAGTCCTTTTATTAAAACTGAACATGTTATACGAGTAGAACAGTACAGATCAAAGTAGCATTCTCCTTGAGATGTGGACGAAGCATTTGAACATGAAAAAGTTGAAAATCCCCCTCCTTCCCTCCCTTTTAGGAAAGCTTCTGACTCCACCCTCTGGATGGCTCCTCCTGCTTGAGGGCTTGATGGCAGTAATGCTGGGCCTGTTGATTTGCCTCTCACCTTCTGACTGGGTCAAGGAATTCTGTTACCTGCCCCCCAGCTCTGAAATCTTTCCTTTTTCCAAGAGGGATTGGATTCTCTGACTGAGAATCTCTACTAGGTGTAAGATCCAGGACATGGGCTGTAGGCAACTATGGTCAGGAAACTGAGACCAGGGTGCAGGTGCAGGGTGGAGTCCTGCATGGGTTCAGAGAACCAGAAGCAAGGGACACATCTTTTAACAGTCCAGAGTCAAAAGCCAGTGAGACAATACAGTCGAGCAACAGAGTTACACAATCCAAAAACACAGTCCAAGGTCAAGTTCCAGAAAGATAATAATGTTGTAGAGCATGGGTCCTCAAACTACGGCCCACAGGCTGGATCCGGCCCGGCATGCCCATTTATCCGGCCCCCCTCAAAGGTTTTGCACTCCCTCAGAGAAAACGATCTCCGAGTATGCAAGCTGCTGCTGTGCACGTCCCCGCCACCGCCTCGCTGTGGGGCTACGGCTGCCTCGCCGCGCCACACACGTGCCCGCCCTGCCTCGCCGTGTGTGCACCCATGCCTGCCTCGCCTCGCCGCCGCCTCTCTGTGCGCGCACCCGCCGCACCCGCCTCGCCCCACATGCGTGTGTGCCTGCATTGCCTCGCCCCGGGTGCAGGAGCATCCGCAAACTGTGTACCTTGTCCTTTAGTGGAAGTGCCACCCCATGCAGGACAGGCTGAAAATTTCCCAAGTGGACAAATGGTCTACCCATCAACAGTACCTCTGTTTTGTCTGAATTTAGTTTCAGCCTCTTGGCCTTCATCCAGCCCATTACAGAGCACAGCACTGATATACAGCAGTCACTGCCTCACCTGGATTTGGTAAGAAAGAGAGGCTGATGACACTTCAGCCCAAACCTCCAGTTAACCTCTTCCAGGAGTTTCATGTTGAATAGCATGAGGGTAGAATAGAACCCTTCAGAACTCCATGGCATAATTGCTATGGCCCAGAGCAACAAGCACCCAGCACCACCATCTGGAATCAGTCAGCCAAGGAGGAGTGGAAGCACTGCAAAGCAGGGACACCCACTCCCAGCCAGGCCAACCTGTCGTGAAGAATACCATGGAGGACGGTATCAAAAGCTGCTGGGTGCGGGAGGAGGGAAGATGGCAACGAAGTAACATTGTTCAGACACAGCTCCCACTTACTTTGAAGAACTGAAGCCCCAGTTATGAAAAGTAAGAACATATCTACAGCCAAAGAGGGAAGAATAAGAAAGAGATGGCCCACTACAAGCCCTGGAGAAGCAAAGCTGGAAAAGGAGAGGAAGGAAAACAGCTTAGAATTGAGAGCTTTCTCCCCTCCAATGGGGCTACGTGTGCTGTGAGTATTGGCAGCACGCTAAGAGCAGACTTGCGGCATTTGCCACAACCCCCATCGCTAGTTCAGCCTGTCAAGAGATAGTAAGTAGTCCATTAACTAAAAACTCGGTCAAGGAGAATGCAGGGAAACAGAAACTTTTAGGATGAAAAGTAAACAGTCCGATGACGGAATATGCAGCCAAATTGCCTCTCTCAGCTTTATCTCTGCAGAAACTCTAATTTTGATTCTAGAGCATTTAAGCAAAACTGAAAGGCAATTAAGAGCCTTAATCCAAGTGCATGCCCACCCAGTACCCAAGTCAGAACAAAGAGGTGAGAAGGAGGAAGATCCCACTGCTCCATCTCCCCCTTAACTCTGAGCAAACACAATTTACACAACGTAAGACTGAAGGGAGAGTACAGAGAGTATTCCAAACAAACCAGGCCCTAATATTCTTCCCAAGGAAAGACACTCAACTCTGGACAAATAAGGAAAGAGTCCCTACCTCTCTGACAGAGCTGCTGAATCATGCTATATCCCCACTGGATTTCAAACACTTCCACTTTCTACCATCACAAATGGACCACAAAAGATTATTCCTAGACTTTAAATCACCTACTGTGCCCTTACAACTTTTTCACTCAGCACAGTATCTGAGAGGGTATGACATAATCCCCCAGAGAGTCTTCAAAGAGATAGGAGTTAGAGTCCCTTCCAGAGCTAGAAGGGTTAACCACGGCACCACTTCATCAGGGACAACTCGAACAGCTGTGGAGGAGGCCCGCCTTGACCTGGAAGACAAACTGCCCATGAACAGTCGCTGTGCGCTGGCTGGTGCTCAGCCAACCGAGCAGGATGGACTCGACAAACTAAGGAACAAATTAGATGAGCTATCAATGCCAATGAGAACTAGACAACACAAAGAAGACCTGGCCTTGGAGAGAGACAGCGACATCTCAGATCCTGACGCCTCCCTCATGAGCTCTCTGGATTTAAATTTGGATGCCTCTGCTCACATCACAGGCTGTGACATGAAGCTAACCAATAATGCTGGACTGGATAATAGGCCGCTCCTTTCCCCATTGATTAAGGAAAACCCATGACTGCCACAATGGATGACGCAGAAGTGGAACCAGAGATGAAGGCACCAGCGGGGACAAGGGAGTTGACTCCAACGAGGCCACTGGATGAGACCCAGACCCGGAGACCTCAGAAAGTCACTGAGGAATTCATAGAAGGTCTACCAAAACCAACAAGCACTCAGCCTAGCACTGAGCTAGGTGACGTGACAGAAAGAGACCGCCGTGCCCCTTGGGAGCCCCAGCTCAGTCCCTCTAGTCCTCAAGTGATGCCTGGACACGACGTAAAATCAGGCCCAACAAATCCCCCAGTTGCCCCCCCCCCCACCGGGAGCGCATTGGTTGGACGCCCCTGCTCCCTTAGCTGGGCTGCCCCTACAGCCAATAACCGAGCTGAGCGAGGAAAACAGGAGTCCCCAGGAGCTGGAAGGTAACACCTCTGAGACCCAGTGACAATCAGACAACTGGCATGTGAATAAAATTCTCCTTATTGCATGGAACATAAATGGCTGGGCTGGGATTCTGCAGGGCCCTGAATCCAAAGACTATCTTTCTTCTAAGGACATTGCACTCCTACAAGAAACATGGATCCAGGGGGCCTTGCTACTTAATGGTTTCCAATCGCATTCCATCAATGGAGTTCCCAGGGCGGGCCATGGAAGACATAAAGGAGGCCCAGGAATTCTGATAGCCACTTCTTTGAGTGTAAGCACAAGGATGCTGCTGTCTTACAAACAACATACAATGTCTTTAATTCCCATCATCATCCCATGATCTCATTGCTTGACTAGCTGGTTTCCTCCTTCTGATATACTGTATGTTTTTAGTTATATACTCCTCAAAGTCCCTTTTCTGCATTCCTTGTAATTCACTTGCATTTCTTTTGTGTTTTTTTAATTCTTCTTATTTGAGCAAGACTTCCATTTTCTTTAAGGAAGGCTTATTTTCTCTTATAGCTTCCTTAGCATTACTTGTTAACCATGCTGATGACCTCTTATACTTGGTGCCACCTTTCCTAATTTGTGGTATAAAGCTGAGCATCTATTATTGCGGTTTTGAGTAACCTCCAAGAATTTGAAGAGTTTTTACCATTGTAACTCCTCCTTTCAATCAGTCCCCTTCCTTGGCTATTTTCTACTTAAATATGTTTTACATATGATAGTACTGTGGACACTGTTTTCCAACTGGGTTGTCAAGATTCACATCTTGGCAACTTAAGGTTAAATGTTCACAACTTAAAGTTAAAATGTTGCCCCCTCTGTCTGGTTGGTTCCATGGAACATGCATTTATCCAGTCAATGTGGGGCTAACAGAACATATCCACATATTACTATAATGCTTCCCCATTGGGAGGGCTCCCTGATTTCCTTTCCCATATCAAGATTGCCCTGGGCATTCTGGTCTAGGGTAGCCCATTACAAAGCTATTTTGTGAGCACAGATTGTTTTCTTATAAATAAATCTAGCGAACTTTGCTTTTTCCAGGATTTGTAGGATTGCTCTAATGCCACACTTACCTTGTCTCCTCGAAGACCTTTTTCCCCCTAAATAAGACAAAAGAGAAAATGTGAAAATTATTATATATGAAGGTATGAAACTAAATTTAACTCTACAAACAAGCTATGCAAAAGAATTCATACATACCTTCATTCCTTGGTAACCAACTGGTCCGGGATCACCTTGCTTCCCCTAGGGTAAAGCAATAACAAATAACATTAACACAAACAACAGTGCAGGAAGTATTTTTATTTATTTCTCTAATTAATTCCAATGGTTACATATAGGTTAATAGGAGTATGAAAACTCTGATCAAAGGCATCAAATGCTGCTGAAAGGACTAGCAGAACTAACATGGGCACATTTCCTATGTCCAGTCCTCAGCACAGATCATCTTCCAAGGTGACTAAAGCAATCTCTGCCCCATACTCAGGTCTAAAGCCAGATTGAAATGCATCCAGACAATCCTCCCAATCCAGAAATCCCCTGGAGCAGAGAAAATCTCCGGAGTCAGAAATGATCCAACATGGTCCATCCAGTAAAACACACAATTCACAAACCAAAGACTCCCTTAAGAAGGGTGGGTACAACATGACCCCCCTGCCCAAGCTCTCTAATAATTGGTATATGTAGGCAGGAAGTGATCAGGAGTATACATTGCATTCAGGATCAGGTGGGCCATTCCATATATTGGGATGTGGAGGACTCCTGAAGGCTTTGTAGATACAAATCTTCACAATAACATTTTGTGGTGTTTAGTTAGGCAAATACGTTTTTTGTATAAAGTGTTATTCATCCCTAAGTTGCCCTTTCAAATAGGAAGATACTGTCACACCATCTAGAAAATGTTTCACAATAACAACTTGTACTTTATTTTACATGACTATGTCCCACCCCAATTAAAATGTGACACTTTGCTTACTTACAGGTTCTCCTGTTTCACCTTTCTCTCCTGGTAGGCCAGGTTTCCCTCTTTCTCCCTGGAACAAAACACAGTTGTCTTGACACAATTGTCTAGTTACATTTAGTTTTATAGAACACAATGATGAAAACTGACTGCTGCATAAATATATACGATGCAGGAAAAGCAGACCTAAGAATACCTCTGTTCTGTCGGACTATGTGTGTTTCTCAAAGGGGAAATATAGGAATACTTCTACATGCTAAAGTTACAAATTTGCGTAATCTTGCTGCTGCAGAGATACCACAAAGGAGCAGCTTTGAGTGTGTACAATTCATCAATCTCAAAAGAAAGTGCTCAGTTTTAGCAGTCCATTATCCATCACTCTATAGCATTAAACAAATTACAAGAATAGTTACAGGCTAAGTATTAACATCTAGTCTTTCTCTTGCCAGCCTTCCAGGTCTCTGTTGGCATATTTCTCCATATACTGTAGATTCTCCACTGCCTATTCCACAAACTCTATTCAAATGACGAGTAGTTCATTTAAGCTCAGCACATGGAAATTGCAAAACGAGAAAAATACAGACCTCATATCCTGGATCCCCGGCTGGTCCTGGGGGGCCTCGAGCAGGCTAGAACAACAGTGAGCAGGAAGAGGTAAGAGCAGGAACGTACAAACACATCACATTACACATGAAAGAAGCAGAGGCCAGTGGACCTGATGGCCTTCTGGCCCCTTCCAATTCTATTAATCTATGATTTTATGAATTAGTGAAAAGCTAAGTGAATTATTAGTGAAAATTTCTCAAAATTTAAGTAAAAAGCTTTAAATATTGTAAGCCGTCCTGAGATTTTTGTATAATAGGTCAGCATACAAAAACTTTTAATACATAATTAAATAAATAAATAAGTCCATTTCCACGTACCTGGCATTCATATGAGCAGCACTGCCAACAGACAAAATGAAAGCATACAATTAGAAGGAGAAGACCACATCAGTTAATACATTCTGTAGATTATGTACTTTTATGCATCATTTTATTATAAAAATGATTTACTCACAGTTTTGCAAAGGAGCAATGAACTAGAGATAGACATGATTATTTCTTTATTTAACCATTTTCTGTACAGTCTATTATTTTCATAGAAAGTCTTGAGATTGTTTACAATAATAATACAATAATAAAAACATAAACACAATTTAGAGCACTTGGCTAAAATAGAATTAAAACAGTTAGCTATTAAAATCAAGAATTATAATACTGGTTAAATAAAAAGCTTTTGGTTTGGTGCCAGAAGGAGTAAAGAATTGGCACTGAATGAACCTCTCTGGAGATCGTATTACCCAATTGAGGCGCCAGTGTTTCCCATTATGTAGCAACCTGGTTTCATGACACTCAGCCTATATAGCCATGGGATAACTAAGCTGGAAGTGGTCATAAGAGGACTCAGCAACAGTATATTGCTTGAATAGACATCACTGCTGGATAGAAGTATATGGGACATGCATGAGAACTGTGCTTGCTCAGAACATTCACCCAGAGACACTGAAAAGGCAGCAAAGGAGGTAGAGAGGTAGAGTTGCCAGAGAAGGCTGCCCTGATGCATGGTCATGCTTGGGGTCTCTTGTGCCTGGGCAGAACCCAACATTTACTTTGAGAAATGGACATCCTCTGAGAAGTCCTTAGCCAATCAAAAAAGATCAACCTGTTGCAGGAGTGGGGGAATCTTCTGCCTGTGCAGACCACCCACCGGTGTTTTTCTTAGTCAAAAACAAAGCAGCAGAAGCAGAAGAACTGAAAGAGGAGAAGAGAGTTTGGGGGAAGGATGGGGGTGGGGAGGGAACTAATGCATGGTTGTTTTCTCTCTTCCACACTTTCTGTGTGATTGGGGAGTCTGTGTGTATATGTATTTCCAACTGATTGAATCCAGACCAGAGGAAAAGTAGGTCTTTTAGTATTTTAATGTCTTTTTACGCTTCTGTTTGGATCATCTTAATCCCATCCTCCGCATCCTCAGCTTTGCATGCATGCTGTCTGTGTCACCTTTTCCTTTTGATCATAATGATGATAACCCCTCCCATTGTTTGCACTCATGAGATTACTGTTCCTGGGGGATGGATTGCTAAGTTTCAGAATACAGTTTAGCTTCTGGTGGCCCCCACTGGCTCTCTCCTGTTCTGGTATCCTCTATGCCACCAGTGCCAGAGGATACCAGCTACCACCAGGAGTAAGTGTGCAGACAAGTAGGGTGTTTTGTTTGTTTTTGGTAACTCCCAACTATAGAGTAATTCCATGTTATTGCTTCTCACATTTCTAAAGAAACAGACAGTAGTGTATGCCTGAGGTTATTTTCCCTTCCAGTTATTTTAGGTGTCACATAATAAGCTATTTCAAGTTTTCAGTCAAGTGTTTCCACCCTTAGAATACAGCTTCAGTGTGTATCATCATGCAATACATTTTTTTTCCCTCTGGGATGAATTCTAAACTGGTCATTGGCTCAGCCATTAGGGTCCCTGCATCTTTATCAGTGATCTGGGCACAGGATTAAACTAAGTAGCATGATACAGGATAATTAAATTCCTGCAAGCAAATAACTTACTGACACACATGCAATATAAAAAGAAAACCCTGACCCTCACATTTATAGTTAGCTTTCCGAGTTCTGTTGAAAAAAGGAATGGTGGAAAGAGCAGAGTAGAAGCAGAGCATCAGGAAACCTTACCTCATGCTCCACATTCTTTTCCTGAAATAAAGAACAACAAAAATATTATACAAGGCAGAAGAAAACAAAGCAGCCCTTGCAATGTATTAGAAAAATAAATAAAAGTAGAGAGGTGGAGTAGACACTCACAATCATATCAATGATGGTGTCAATTGTATTATCAATATCACGTGGGGATGAAGACAGTCCAGTTGCTGTGAAATTGCGGCGATAGGTGTGGTCTGTAGCAATCACACTTAGCCTGGATTCCTAGGACAGAAAGAGCCCATGGCCACAAAATAAGAAACCAGAAAGACTGATGTTTTCTTACTCTAACCCTAGTTCCTTGTGGATTCAGCTGTGCAACTGATATAATTCCTATACTTCCTGCTAGTACTGCAATAATAAAAATTTCCAGAGAGAACAAGAAAATATGCTAGTTTTCATATGAAGATGAAAATGCAGGTGTATTTAACCTGGAAAGAACTACGCATGCAGAGCAAGCAATGGAGAAAGAACTCTTCCAGCCTCTTTCCCCGCTTTCCAGGAAGGCAAGGAGACCGGGTCCTTCCTGCCTGCTGTTGCTGCAGTGATAGCAGTGGGTAGGATCATTCCTTTGCGAGGAAGCAATACTGAACAGCTGGTTCTTCTGCCACATGTCTCCTCCCAGGCCCCGTGCTACATCCCCGAGTGGCTTTTCTGCTGATGCCTGGATTGCTCTCCCTCCAGTGCCAGCTGGAGACCAGGGGACATGGATAGCAGCCATGCCTTGCTGGCTGACATCAGTTAGAGCTCTTTAGCCAGAGCAGCAATGTCTTTCTTGCTGCTCCGACCAGGAGTCGCTTAATGTTTGGCTTGGCTATTACTTAGCATGTTCACTGGGTTCAGACAACAGATGAATTAAACCAGGCAACAGCTAAATGTGCTGATTGAATGGCCACCCCATGGGAACACTGCTGGGATTGGATGACATGTTCACTCACCATCCCGTATAAGCCACGGGGGGTAATCATAATCTGAACCCAGTAACAGTAGGGTCTGAAAAGATTTCTGCATATACAGAAAGCCCTGTACATTTCCCAGCTTTCTCAACAGTTACTGCCCTGAGCCCCCTCAAAAAACACCACATTCACTTCCATTCTATGTCCAGAGAAATCCTCCACGGCAGTGGCAAATGCAAATGTTTTCTTGACAGCTGCTCTACAACTATATCAATTTCTTTCCTATAAACAACTGCCAGACACTTAAGGTCATTTTTGTAAGAATTATTGTGCACACATCCTGGTCTGCAGGCATGTGGCATATTATACCTCTGTATCTTTAACTTTAATTTAGGCTTAACTTTCTGTTGTGTTCCATCTTGTTGAGCAGCAATACTTTACTTCAGTGGAGGGCCAGCAGTGCCTTGGAGAGTATTAGAATTCAGGTTTTAGTGTGAAGGCTCCCACTTACCTTCTAGGTCATGGGATACTGCCAGCCAAAGAATTAACCCAGCCCACTTACTTATATTTTGTCCCTGCTTCAGTTCCCTCTATTTATTGACAATAGTTTGTCTAATAACATCCATGTGTGTGCTTTTCGTACCAGATGGTCTGGAGATATAGCGACAGAGAACACTTTGATCCCCAGATGCTTTGCTTCATTGGCAGCATCTTCCAGTCCCCCACAGGGCTCTTTGTAGCCTTCCAAGGGATGTCCATCTGTCACCACAATCAGGTATTTATTTTCCTTCTGATGAGACCCTCTGTAAAAATTCAAACCAGCTACTGATGAGCAATCCATACTATCTTTATAAACGCACTACTCCAATACACCATAATCCTAAACATTTGCCCTCGTGTATCCATCTGTTGCATGCTCCACTATTGTGGAAGTCACACCAAATTGCACTGGTTTGTAGTTTATTTATAAAATTGTAACATTTGTATGCCTTCCAATTACTTGCGTCTCTGGATGGCTTACAGCATCAATAAATTGACAACCCACTCTGGCTGATACAACTTACCCAAACGAATGGTGTCTTAAAATTTTGCTAGAATAGCCAACCACAATAAGGGTGCTTTGATATCGGGGGTGGCCAAAACAAGGCCCACAGGATACATGCAGCATTTTGAGTTTATTTTGGGGCTCACAGAGGGATGTAGACCTTCCGCTGCCATGATGGCATCCCTGTCATGCACTCTGTACACACACCATGTACGTTTGGCAAGCTACAGCCAGCCCACACTGGGGCCTGAGTCCGAGAGCAGCACCTGTGTGGCGCCTGCCTTTTTCCTGCTGTCCCAGCTTGAGGAAGGCGGCTGCCTGCTCAGACCCTACGGCTTATTTGATGCCTCCTGGGGCCAAGTATCCTGCCACCGGCCAGGGCAATAACAGCCCCATTCCCATGAGTGTTGGACTCTTCCAAGGCTGCTCCCTGGTCCCTTTGCACCCCCATGCCACCACCTCGCCTGTGCAGGACCCTGCTCAGCAGCAGCAACCGCCCTGCAGCCAAGGGGATGCCACTGTTGTCCTGTAGCACCTGCCCCCACACACTGTGGAGCTGCTAGCCAGCCTGGACCACACATGAAGGCGGAGCCTATCCAGAGCTCTGAGTTTCTTGTACAGACTGGTTGGAGTGGGCGACAAGGACAAACAGACCACCTTGGTTTCATTTATTGTAACTTATTGACTGAAATAAATGTTTTTAAAGGCCACTTTTAGAAACTCTTAGTGGGAACAAAGGGCCCCACTGCAGGGTTTATGCTTCCCTTTTTTTTCCTCCTCCTGCTTTTCTTAATCAGAAAATCTCCATGCATGTGCAGAGGCTACAAAACTGTCTTCAGGGGCAGCTGTGAGGAAAAGCAAAATGTGCAACAGCTGTCTTGAGGGCATCAGACCTGTGGTTTTTATACACCCTTGCAGGAATGTGTACAGAATGACTTCAATATCCCAGTAAAAGTTTGACTAGGAAACAGTTGGGCAATAAATAGTAACAAGCCAGGTGGTTATACAGGATGATGTTTGTAATGCGGTGTTGTTTTTCCAGGATTTCATATGTTTAGTATATTAAAACCTAGCATTTCCTTTTCTAAGTATGCAAACAGTTGGACAGAGTTGAGCACAGCCTGTACTGTGTGGCTCTAAGAGGCACAATCCTACACATGTTTAGATAGAACAACAACATACAGAGACTCCCTGAGAGCAGTATGCCTTTCTTCTGTCTCAATATGAGTGTGTCCTCTTTGGAATGCCTTTTTAAGCAGGAAAAGCCATGCCAGACACTGTCCCGATACCATGGCAACTACTGTATGCCTAGAGTAATTGTAGGCCTGCTTGTGAGCATGGCATGAAAATGGTGGCAATGGGTTAGGGATGCTGGTGGTGCAGGTTTCTATGTTTAAAGGCACAATATTATGCATGTTCCATGGGAAAAAATGTCCTACAACTCCCAGCGTTCTGCTGGCAATTGTAGAGCTTTTTTCCAGTTGAAACCTGCATAGGATTATGCTTTCGATCAGCATAATAAATATTTGTTCAGGTCTTGTGGCTCTCGAACATCTGGCATTTACTGTACGTGGCTCTTCCATTGAGCAAGTCTGGCCACCCCTGTTCTCGGAGTAAATCAGCTACTAAAGGTTGCTTTTGCAGACATAATGGTGGTAGACAGTGTGACAAGCTCCAGCATCCGGTGTCTTCATATTGCCTGCTTGGTAGCTCAAGAATGAACTCATTTTAATAAAAATAATATCTTGCATTTCAGAAAGTGCATTGTACCAAGACACAGTCTTCTCTGAAATCTTGTTTGCTAAGCATCTTGATGATTACAAAGGCTTTGCCAAACAGTTAGTGGGGAAAATAGATGGAGTGCTATATGCTCAATGCAGTATAGTGTCAAGTTCCACTCTTAGCCTTACTCTGCGGTCTTGAGTGAGAGTCTTTTCTCAGCATTGGCTTGATACTGATGGTTCTAAACCAGTGTCTCCAGGGTGATGGGCCGGATGAGGGCCAACAAATTGAAGCTTAATCCAGACAAGATGGAGGTGCTATTGATAGGTGGCTCCCATGTCCAGATAGAGGATATTTGCCCTGTCCTGGATGGGTTTGCACTTCCCCTACAGGACGAAGTCTGGAGCTTGGCAAACCTCTTAGCTGAATTACTGTAATACACTTTATGTGAGGCTGCCCCTGAAAACAGTCTGGAAGCTTCAATTGGTGCAAAACAGAGTGGCCAAATTGCTAACAAGGATTGGTAGCAGCAAGCATATAACACCAGTCCTCTATCAGTTGCACTGGCTGCCAATCGAAGTCTGGGTCTGCTTCAAGGTGCTCATTTTAATGTATAAAGACCTAAATAGTTTAGGACCTGAATATCTGAAGGAACATCTCCAACCATACAAGCCTACCCAGACCCTAAGATCTTCATTGGAGGTCCTGCTTCGGGAGTCACCTATAAAGGATGCTAAGAAGTTGGCTACTTGGGATAGGGCCTTTTCAGTTGTGGCACCCCATCTGTGGAATTGGCTCCCCAGAGATGTGTGCCAGGTGCCTTCTTTGCATACTTTCTGGTGCCAGGCAACGACTTAAAAAAAAAAAATGGAGTATTTTAATTGCTGACAGTTTTAATTCTATTTTAATTTTAATTTTAGGTTTTTAGCTTAATTGATGAATTGTAATATTTTAATTGTTTTATAAGATGCTGTCCAGTCTGTTTATATGATGTCAACATGGTTGGTGCTCCTGCTGATGGAATGGACGTTTCTATTGGTATTGATGTTTTATCATTGACATTGTATTATTGAATTTGTTAATATGCTGTTTTTTATGTTTTGTTGATAGTTTTTAACTGCATAAACCATTCAGACAGCCATGTGGCTATTGTGACAGTCTATAAACAAACAAACAAACAAACAAACCCCATCCATGAAATATCATCTACTTCACAGTGTTGTGGTAAAGATTTTTGGAAGTATCCTCTGTAGTACGCAAATGATCTTGGATATTAAGGGAACATTCCAAAGAAATAGGAACTGTTCCCATGTGCTCATGGAATTATTTTCTAGTGTGATTTCTGAATGTAAAGTATTATTATTATTTAATAATATATTTTTTGTTACAATTATTCCTTTGAAGGAACTCAAGGTAGCTTACATAATTCTTCTCTTCTTCTCTGTCTTATCCTCACAGCAACCCTGTGATATATTTTGGGTTGAGGGTCTGTGACTGGCCAAAAGTCACCCAGTTAGTTCCATGGGGACTGAGTGGGGGCTGAGTGCCAGTCCCATGTTCTTAACCACTACACTACACTACACTGGCTCTTATATCCATATTGTGTTCCCCTTCCCATTGACTTTGGCTTAGAATGTCAGTAGAACATACAATGCAGAACACTCTGATATCCTATTTCTGACTTCATTTCCACCACAAGTAGAAAGGTTACCTTCAAAATCAGGATTACCCAGGAAAATCTAAAATCACCATTTAATTATTGTGAATTCTTGCTGTACTGTGCTTATCACACTGAACTCTGTTTTTCTGGGTACAATCTCAGCAGCGTCAAAATAAAGGATTTTTAAGTAGTTCTGGATTCAGAAGTCTAACTGAATTCCTTCTCAGTTTGATCCTGTGGCATGAAGTAATGGTGGTATCAAGAAAATCTACTCAGGCATTTTAGAATTCAGTACCAAGAGCATTGCCATGCATATTGTAACAAAAATTGTAAGAAGAAGCATTGATAAAGTGCTATATCTTGTGGCAATCTTTTCAGCTCCCTAGGAAGGTCAGATGAGGGGATGAGGGTGAGTATAACTTGCTTAGTGAGTTCAGGAAAAGGTGACATATGAACCAGAAAATGTATAACTGGGTTTCCTTTACATCTCAAAATTAGGCACCAACTGAATCAGAAAAACTTGGCTTTAACAAAACACCATTTGGACATATGCAAAATGCACCATTTGCAACATAATTTGCAAAAGAATTTTCCATTGTGACACTTCAGATATTGAACACAACTGAAACTATTACAGGAAGGAATACATGTAAAGATATGATGCACACATTTGGTGTGATATAAGCAAAACAAACACGGTCTGTTGTTTACTTCCTGAAATCCTTCATGTTTTGAACTTCCCTCTGAGCTGCAATATGCTCAAAATCCTACAAGCTAGGCTCCAGCAGTATGTGGGCCAAGAACTACCAGAAGTGCAGGCAGGGTTTTACAGAGGCAGAGGAACTAGAGATCAAATTGCCAACATACGCTGGATCATGGAGAAAGCTAGGGAGTTCCAGAAAAACATCTGCTTCATTGACTTTGCTAAAGCCTTTGTGTGGATCACAACAAATTGTGGCAAGTTCTTAAAGAGATGGGAGTACCAGACCATCTTATTTGTCTCTTGAGAAACCTGTATGCGGGTCAAGAAGCAGCAGTGAGACCTGGACACAGAACCACTGATTGGTTCAAAATTGAGAAAGGGGTTCAGCAAGGCTATATACTGTTGTCCTAGTTTGGGATCTGGTTGTATTTCCACTTTTTAAGTATTCAATGAAGATAATTAGCCCAAATTATTGTACCATTCATAATTCCCACCACATGTTTGTTTGTTTATATATTGATTTTATATACTGCCCTGTTCTTGTATGTTCTGGGCAGTTTACAAGAGATTACATGTGCAATATATACCAGCATAATTCCATTATCTCCCATATTTTGGCCCCAAACTGAACTTAATAGATTTTTAAAAATCCAAACTTTTCCAATTATTGAAG